TTGAGTCAGTAGAGACCAGGGATGCAGCTGAACATCGGGGCGTCTCCGGGATGACCCCTACAGCGGAGCAGTTTCCTAGTGCAGGTGTCAGCAGTGTAGAGGTTCAAGTTTTATACAGATGATGTTAATGGACTTCTTTTATTACAGTAAGCATGGGGAAAATTTGACTGATGTCCCTGGAAAGTGCTACTGTTTGGAATTAAAAAAAAAAAATAAAAAAAAGAAAGTCTGTGTGGCATACACAACACCAAAAAGGGCAAAGGATCCAGAATGAATAAGAAAGGAATTGTGAAAAACGACAAGAAGGACTTTCACATCCAGCGAAGACTGATCCTCTATACTAATGTCCCCAAAGCAGAAGCACAGCTTTTGCTGCAATGGCTGCAGCTGGGCCTGTCACCTGTCTCCCTCCGCCAACATGTCCTTGCCGGTCTTTTAGGGGTTAACTTGAGGGAGAGGTACAGCTGACCCTGTTTGCCTTTCCAGTAGATAAGATCCTGCCTGCTGGCCAGCGTAGTCTGGAGGGGTTTGTTGAGGGGAATTCCAGGTCCAGGCAGGGAAATGGCAGGCCTGGGGCAGAAGTGAACTCTGACTTAAATACAAACACCAGAACAACTGCAGCCCACCTGCCTGGAAGAAAAATTCCCTAACAAGCCGATCAGTTAGAGGAAGGTCAGGCGGTTACAAGCACCACTCACCAAGCAGAAACACACGCCTCTTAGCTCCAGTTTCAATCTCTTAAGAATCCTCCCCCACCCCGGGCATTGAGCTCCAGTTGCCCAGCTCCCTGCCCTGCAGCCCAGCTCCCTGCCCTGCCCTACGCCGATGCAGAGCAGGGACACCTGAGAGCAGGGCTTCTCTTGACAAGTACTTCTGCAGAAGAGTTCTTAGTGTCTCTAAACTTAGGTAGTAAGTGTACACACGCTGTAGAAAACAAAATCCATCCTAACGTACAAGTTCCTGTTCGCCTGCTTTCCCACTGCTCGCTGGGTGTCCCCTACCCCTTTGCCGTCTGCCTTCCACTTATTCTCAGAAATGGGCTTTTATTCTTGTCAAGTAGCCCAGGACCCATTTTTATTTTTAACACACAAACTCTACTTTTTTGCTTTGACACCCCTTTCAAAAAGATTGATTTATTGGAAGTCAGAGTCGCAACAGAGAGAGAAGGACACATAAAGAGAGAGAGAGAGAGAGAGAGATCGATCTTCTGTCTGGTTCACTCCTCCAATGGCTGCAATGGCTGCAGCTGGGCGGATATGAAGCCAGGAGCTGCTTCCGGGTCTCCCCTGTGGGGGCAGGGGTCCAAGCACTGGGGCACTCCGCTGCCTTCCCAGGCCATCAGCAGGGAGCTGGATGGAAGGGGAGTTGCCAGCACCTCCATGGGAGGCTGGTACTGCAGGTGCAGATTTGACTGGCTATGGCACGGAGCTGAGCCCTGCTCTGCCCATCCTCGAGTCTTGTGAGTGTAACTGCCATCTGCTGCCTCTCAGAAGTGTTTCCTATCAGGGATTAGTGCTCAAGGGGGACTACAAGGGCTAAAACAGTATTAAAGCTTGCTTTCAAATGTTTTGTGTTTTTGACAGTGAACCATATAGTTTTCATACACTTTTTTTTGGAGATTTATTTATTTTCTTGGAAAGGCAGATGTACAGAGAGAAGGAGAGACAGAGAAAGATCTTCTGTCCATGGTTCACTCCCCAAGTGGCCGCAATGGCTAGAGCCAAACTGATCTGAAGCCAGGAGCCAGGAGCTCTTCCAGGTCTCCCACGTGGGTGCAGGGTCCCAAGGCCTTGGGCTGTCCTCAACTGCTTTCCCAGGCCACAAGCAGGGAGCTGGATGGGAAATGGAGCAATTGGGACACAAACTGGTCCCTGTAAAGCATCCTGGTGCTTGCAAGGTGATCCTAGGCCTTCGCACTGGTCCATTTCATACACTTTTGTTTGTTAAAGTTTCTGTTTCTTACCTGTGGCATAAAGCTTTGCAAGTAGGACTTGGCTAAAGCTGTTTAATATTTGCTCTAACCAGAATCGTAGAAGAAACCTTTGTGGTTAGACCTGTATGTGTAATTGAATCCTGTGAGTCGATAAATTCATTGAAAACGGAGTTACCCTGGTCACTTTTTATTTGACAGAAATGACTGACTTCCACGTTTGCAGTTAAGTAGCTGCTTTCCTGCAGTCCCAGCCCGCAGTTCCCACCCCTCAGTGACTGGCACTGTGAACGCTGGGCTAGTGAACCAGGTTTAGTGGTTCACTAAGTGCTTTGCAACTCTTCCAAGTAGTGTAGCAGGGCTTTTCTACAATTCCACATGCATCATTTTTGAGTGACATCTATACCAGTTGTGGCTTACAACAGGGCATGGCTTCAATTGAGACAGGGATTCCTGGGATTTACAGCTGAGAGATTGGTATAAAATAATGTTTAAAGTACACAGTTATGCAGCAACAAGGAAAGCCTTCTAAAATACACAATGAAGTCTGACATTCTGTTTTTAAGATGGGAAAAAAAAATGAATAGGTATCTCTCCTATACTTGGTTTTCTTTTTTGGTTCCCATTGGTAATCTGGAAATAGATCCATGTAATACGGAAGAGTTGGCTTCTAGCCCTTCTAGAAACTAGAAGGGTAACCTTTGAAAGTCACTTAACCTGTTCCAAATGAGAGCTCTTTGCCTGTGCGTCCAGGAGGACGACAAATGTTTTGTTTTCAGAGGCATTTATAATTGTTTTTCAAATTTGTGCCCCAGTTTTGATGAAGGCATTTCCGTTTCTTTGCCTGTTTAACCTTCCGCTGGAACAGACTTAACTGTGCCTGTTGGCATATATATTTGCCCATAAAAATCAATTTTTATTTTGAAGTTTACGTTATAAGAGGTTGGGAAGAAATATATGGGATGATTTATTTTGTATCACATAGAACTGCTTCCGGTCATTGGAATGACTGCTCTGGAAACTGTGCAGCCTGTTCTGGAGTGAAATTCTTCAGTATTTAGCCTGTGGTTTTAGGGATTTGAGAAAACCAAAGGTCATTTGCAGGAGGAAATAGTTTTGTACCTCAGTTAATTTAGGACCAAGGATATTTCTGCCTATTAATTTATAAATTATTTAAAAAAATACATATCCTCCTTTTTAAAAAAAAGATTATTTATTTATTCGAAAGGCAGAGTTTCAGAATGAGACAGATAGAAAGAGAAATAGAGATATTTTCCATCCCCTGGCTCACTTCCCAAATGACCATAGTGGCCTGGGCTGGACCAGGTTGAAGCCAGAAGCCTTCTGGTGGTCTTACGCAGGATGGCAGGAGCCCAGGCAGCTTGGGTCGTCTTCGACTGCCTGCTCACGTGCATTGACAGGGAGCTGCGTTGGAACTGGAACAGCATTCAAAGGTGCCCAAGTGGGGCGGTCTGCAGCTTAGCTGTGCCACAGTGCTGGGCCCACCATCTGCTGCTCTTACAGCTGCGGAGTTCTTGACGTGGTCCTCCAGTTGTCAACCCTGTAAAGATGTAACTGTGTGATGATGTGTCATAAATAGGCCTCGGGTTAACCCGTGGATGTTTTTCTGGGGATTCAGTTCTAGTGTATTTGTGTGAAAGCACATTTATACACTGCGGTAAGCCAGTGTAGGGATAGAAGGGATTAACGGGAAATGGCTTGAAAGCTGTTACTATGATTCACATTATATCGGATATGATTTTCGCTTTCCTGTTTGTGTCTTTTTTTTTTTTAAAGATTTATTTGTTTTTATTAGAAAGATATACAGACAGGAGGAGAGACAGAGAGGAAGATCTTCTGTCTGATGATTCACTCCCCAAGTGACCGCAATGGCTGGAGCTGAGCCAATCCAAAGCCAGGAGCCAGGAGTCTCTTCCAGGTCTCCCACGTGGGTGCAGGGTCCCAAGGCTTTGGGCCATCCTCAACTGCTTTCCCAGGCCACAAGCAGGGAGCTGGATGGGAAATGGGGCTGCTGGGATTAGAACTGGCACCCATATGGGATCCCGGCATGTTCAAGGTGAGGACTTTAGCTACTAGGCCACGGCACTGGGCCCTCTCCCTTCCCTTTTTTCATGGTGCTTCTCATAGCAGAAACTGAGTGGAAGACTGAGTCTGTTCCTCCCTCTGTCTGAGGTCATGCTTGCCATTTTGCAGTTTCCTTATACTGCACGTGGTTTTATTATTTAGCGACATGCAGAGATGGCTTTTTCACTGGTGGTCCTTGCTTTCAGTGGTCACAGCATTGGTGGTAACAGTGCAGGAAGAACAGCAGACGGGGCTGGGCTGACTGAGAGCGCTCGCACTCCAGCATGATGTATCTTCCTCAGGGATTTGCATTGGGCAATTTTGATTTGCTTGAGAGATGAATTGACAATGTGCTTCTCCTTTAAAACGTGATTCCACGTTGATAGGATTGAAATGGAAAGTAAGGGCACGGCTGTCTTGAATGCCTAACTGTTAATAATACATTTTGCAGAGTTCTGTTTTCCAAATGCATCGGGGGAAGTCACTTCTGTTGAGTGTACGGTTGTTGGAGTTAACCCATCATATGCCACAAGTTCTTTTTGTCTCATTGTTTCTGTCTGTCCTGTGTTTGGTAGCGCTGCCCCGGGGAAGTGGCTCCTGCTGGGTGAGGGTGCGGAATGGGAGGTGAGTGAATGCTGCTGGGCTCCAGGATGCCTCTCCCTTTCAGTTTTCCTGTCTTTGTGGTTATATGGTAGGATTTCTTTTGACATAAAGGGTTATGATTTATAGGCTAACACATGTTTGAGAATGTTAGGTATAGTTCGCATAACATTCTTTTTCAGGAAATTTTTTTTTCCCTTTCGCTTATTTGTTAGTATTTTTTTTTTTCATGTAGAACTTATATAAAAATACCTATGTTTATTTTCGTATGAGGATGCCAGGCAGTTTGTGTATGGTTGGAATTCTCTGGTTTTAGCTTGTGTTGCCTTTTGCTACCCGTCGTCTGTCAGGGTCACTTGTTAAGCTTGTAATCCTCTTCCTGCAGGTTCTCAGCAAACCCCGATTCCTTCTTCTTATGAAATTATCACTCCTTGGAGATTAACTAGAGAGCGAAGGGAGGCCCCGAGGCCCTACTCACCGCAGGTGGGTGTCTGCTGACTGGTGTGTGTCTAGCTACATTTTTCTTTTCATTCTTCCTTTTCTTTCTTTTTTGATGCAAGGATGTTTTTTGAAACAGTCATTGGTTCAGAGGGTTATTTGTCAGCCATTAGTTAGCACCATGCAATACTGATGTCCATAGGATGTTTATTCTCGTAAAAGCAGCTTACTAAGCTGTAGTATCTTTTTTTCAAAATATCGAAATGATCAAGTTGAAACATAACAGAAGTAGACAGTTAAGTCGAACTTTATAACCAGCAAGCTAATGGCATTGATTTCTAATCCTTAACTGGCTGACAATGGCCACCCCAGTTTGATCGTAAGAATTAACTAAAAAAATTAATTAGACTTAGTATGTCTTAGAATACTTTGTATTGTTGCTGACCCTGGATATTCTTGATGTGCCTAATACATATATATCACATCTGGGAATATTTATTCAAATATGAGTTTTATTTCTACATCAAAAGGAACTTACCTGTGGTGCTGTAAGTGGGATAATCAATGCCAACAGTTATAGTCTCTCTTCCAGTTTGTTCAGATATCGTATGTTTGGACTTGAACTGAGTTTGCAAGCCATTCAACCTTGTAGATAGAAGTGTGATTTAACTCTAGCAGTGAGAGATAATGAAGGATCCAGTTGAGCTTATTCCGTCTGAGTTACAGATGCCTCCAGACTTACAGGGCACCTCGGATGTTACTTAGGGGCTGAGCCTAGTGACGGGAAGACTGTAAAATCAGGAGCTTTTGGTTCAAGTCCTTGCCTTGTGAACTTACTGCACTGTCACTCAGCTCCATTTACCCCTTCATCAGCAAGCAAGAAATAGCTTTAAGATGGCTTTCAGGCAGAGCAGCTTATGGTATTTCCCCTGTTCTGGTCTGAACTGGACAGCCTGCTGTGTGATGAGGCGGTTACCGTAACGTGGGCTCGGTCTCTGATTGCCTGGTCGGTTTTCTTTAGGAGAGGATGAGCTTTCTAGCACACGTCATCAGTGCTGCACACGCCATCAGTGCTGCACACGTCATCAGTGCTGCACACGTGGAGGGTGTGGTGAATAATTGTCATTTATGTGCTCCCACAGTTATCTGGAAGAATGGTACGGTCAGTGCATACCGAGCTGGAATTTTGCTCAGGCAATATATGAGTGTAATTTCCTCATCTTGAACTGCTTATTCAGTGCCTGTTACATGTGTTTAGGCCCTGGGGATGTGCAAGTGAGCGAAGTAGACAAAATTTCATGCCTTTTTGGAACATTTAGTCAGGATGGAGAGAGTGAGGGAGGAAAGAGAGAGAGAGAGAGAGAGAGAGAGAGAGAGAGAGAGAAAGCAGATGAATAATATGTGTTTCTGAAGGTAAGTGCTGTGAAGGAAATGCAGGCACCAAGTTTGGGGTGATGGTGGCAGATAAGGGCAGGGTTTGCAGTTTTTAATAGGGTGGTTGGGAAGGATCTCCCTGAGAGGGTGACCCTGGAGTGAAAGCCAGAGGAGCAGAGTGAGCAGTCCAGGGGGACAGAAGGGAGCAGTGGAATAGAACAGCGTTCTCACAGTCTCACATTGCCTCTCACTGGAGAGGGCAGTGACGGTATTGCACATATCCCTGGCCGAGAGGAGGAAGGAGAGGAAAGCATGGGCCGGAACGGTGGTAGCAGTGGGAGGAGCTTGGTGCTTCTCCTGTAGGAATTGCATGCTGAAGTCACTGACACAGTTCTCAGACTGACGCAGTTCTCAGGATGCGGAAGTGATGCCTGGATCCAGATGTGGGCCCAGTCACCCAGTCGGAGAACTCAGAAGTTGGTGTGCCATGGGAGAGGAGCAGGCGGATTCTTGGCAAAGTGTAAACAACCGAGGGTTGGGAAAGGGTAGGGCAAGATAGACCCGTGTGATAATGTTGGGCTGTGAGGTCCCTCCGTGACTTCGGTTTGATTGAAGATTGGAGATCCCTGGTTTCCAGGGAATTTAGTGAGCTGGTGACTGGACATGTGGGCACTTGGCAGGTTGCCATAGAATAATTTGATGCAGAGGAGGGAATGTGCTCTGCTCGAAGACTTAAAGTGTGGGGGGCAGTCGCCTAACTCCTTGACTGTGGTGCCCCCGGCTGCGAGGCGCAGGTGTGCTGCAGTGCTCCTTGCTGTTTGTGTGAGGCCTTCTCAATGTAAAGAATGTCAGGGGGAAGAAGTTTGCTTAGGCACTGATACAATGACATCAGCCATGTCAAGATAGTCAGGGAAGAGTATGCACATCTTTCCAAATTTTGGGTAAGTAGAACTAGGCCTTATCTTGAAATGAAGAGATTTCACTGAAGCGTGTAGATACTAGATTTGGAGGGAATCTCTTAAGATTGCAGCTTCTTAAATTGTGAATGAATTTAGGAAGAGTTTGCATAAGTATACGGATAATTTTCCACTATCCATTAGTACAAGAAGGTAGGGATAATCTTACTGTACTTTTCTCTGAGTTAAAAAATAGACACCAAGATCGTTGCAGGTCAGTGTGAAATTATTCCACTTGAGGGTGGAAGGTCCTGTGTCTTGGAACTGACATATGTTGGAAAGTGATTGACTTGATGATGATTTACATTTTTTTCTGCTCTCTATTTAGGTGTCTTACGTCATTCCGATTGAAGGGAAGGAGCATATTGTTCACTTGGAGAGGAGCACGTAAGACATTTACTTTGTCTTTTTCTTTTTGTAGTTTCCTTGCCCAATAGTATGTTGATACCTTTTCTGTTAGATGCTGGTTGGGTGATCCTGCACCCAGTGTGGAAGGAGACTTGGCCGTTCATTGGCAGCTCTGCTCAGTGTGCAGAGAGGGCAGAGGGTGTGTACGTGTGGGTGAGTGGGGGAGGATGGGATGAGAGGATGGAACGGACTCAAGGTGCCATGGGCTGCTCAGGGAAAGGAGGGCTGCAGTGCATCAGGGCACAGGCGTGCTGTGGCCACTGGGCAGCACACCCAGGACCCTTCCTCAGCGGCCCACCTGCGCTTTGTCTTCAGCTTCTAGTATACGCAGATAGGTGTGGAAGGCATCTTAGTATTACAGGAGCCTGGCACAAGTTTATTGAAGGAATCTTTTATGCTGTATTGGCTGTGTAGCCAAGGTAAGGCTGTGTAGCTGATTAGACCCAATGACCATCAGTTTATCCATCTCCGCACAGTTGAGAAACAATAGTGCTAGGTGCCAGCAGGAGACTTTTGACCTTGAACCAGGACATCCCAAGTCACTACCTAGTGGGTTGCTCAGACATGGAAGGCTTTGAATAAGAGAAACTGCTTTGTTCCTTTTATGTCGGCAGAGCCTGAGAACTCATTCTCCTAACCTGGCCCCTGAGCAAAGCAGGGCGTTGTCCCACAAACAACTTTTAGGATTCCTAATACATGCTCAGTTATTCAAGTTCTGATTGGGCGTGTCAGTGTGGCAGCACCGCCCACACAACTTGTTACGCAGAATGACACTTGGCATGTACCTGGACTGCTGCAGTTGTCCTTGTGGTGTTGGTTCAGGTCAACTGGTCCCTGCCTTGGGGACCTTGAGGGGTACCTAGGGTCCCCTGCTGCAGTTAGTTGGTACATTGCATGCCTTGCCTTGTCCATGTACTTGGAGAGCTGCTCCAGTTCAGCCTCACAAAACCCTCCGTGTATTGACTTTTTTATTTACAAGTCAGTTACAGCAAGTGGCCCTTCCCCCACCTCAGCACACAGCAAGAGATATTCCATCTCCTGGTTCTCTCCTGAGATGGTTGCCACGGCCAGGACTTAGCCAGCCAAAGCCAGGAATTTCACCTGGATCTCACCCATGGGTGGTAGGGGCCAAGCACTTGAGCCGTCTTCTGCTGCCTTTCCCAGACCATTAGGAGGGAATAGGATTCAGAGGGATGGGAAGCTGGCACCCATAAGGGATGCTGGCACTGCAGCTGGCAGCTTTACCCACTGTGCTGTAATGAGAGCCATTCTCCCCCCTCCCCTCCACCCCCGACCATGTGGCTTATTCTTCACATGAAATGAAGCTTTGGAAATTAGAAATCCTTTCTTCCAGCATCTGACATAGAATTTTGTCTGTGTATTTAGGAGGTTAGGGCAGTGAATCTTAAAAAGACTGTTAAAAAATTTGATTTTCTTCTGTTAACGCCATGTGCTGTCCATACCCAGTTTTCTTGTGAGATGTATCAGAAAAATTTAGGGTCATTAATTACGCTGTATTATGTTTTTGCAGCCATGACCACAAGAACAAACGTGGACCTTAATATTACCTAACAGTACTTAGACTGTTTCATATTCAGCTCTGTGTGAGCTTTCAGTTTGGGGGTAGCAACTTCTTTATAGAATCAGTTTTTGCTCATTACTGCTTGTCTGACTGTGGAATAATGCCTTAGAATTGTGTCCTCAGTTGTAGACAGATTACATAAATTCATATTTGTCTTTCTTCTTCCAGTGACCTTTTGCCTAAAGATTTTGTAGTTTATACCTACAGTGAGGAAGGGGCTCTGATCTCTGACCGTCCCAACATAGAGGTAACGTATTTTCCTTTTGGCCTTACAACATTTGAAACAATTCAACTTCGAGTACCTGGGACTAATACATTGTACAGCCCTGCAGAGCACCATAGCATTGAAATGGATGTGCTCTTCTGACATAGGTGCCTATATTTATATAGACTAATCTGTGCTCAGTAGAGAGGGATTTTTTTTTTTTTAAAGGTAGGAAAATAATTTTTATTTAATGATATTCTTGACTGGCTATGAAGGGAGAAAGTGAGTATGCTTGGAAAAAAGAAGGTTGTTGATGAACATTATTATTGCTAAAAGGAGGAGCCAGATTTGTGGCGCAGCGGGCTGAATCGCAGGTTGTGGTGCTGGTGTTCTGTATCGGAGTGTTGGTCTCAGTCTGGACTGCTCTGCTTCTGTTCCCACTTCCTGCTGATGCGCCTGAAAGCAGCGGACAGTGGCTCCAGATCGTGGGCCCCTCCTACCCACGTGGAAGAGCTGGATGGCATTCCTGCCTCTTGGCTTCGGCACGGGCCAGCCCCAGCTGTTGTGGGCATGTGGGGAGTGAACCAATGGATTGACAACATTTCCATCATTGTATCTTTGAAATCAAATTAATGGATCAATCTTTTTAAAAAAAGCATCTCTGAAAACATATATTCCTTATTAAGCGTTGTGAGTTGTTATTTAATTTTATTTAATTTTTCACTAAAAACCTTTATTAATCAGGTGCACTTCTCTCCACATCCGAGGACAGAATACACCTGGGCACATGGTGGACCAGGAATGCTCAAAATAATGGGCAGGTGTTAAATTTGACTTGCTTGCTTTTCTTTTTTCCTTCCTTCCTCCCTCTCCCCCTCCCTGACTGCCTTTCTTCCTTCCTTCTTTTCCTCACACCTAGAGCATGAATATTGCTGGATCTGTTGGGAAGACTTCATTATAGTCCTTTCTAAAATGTATTTTGAAAAGCTGTGTTTATTAGGAGAGAAGGGGAGAGATCTTCTGTCTACTAGTTCTCTCACCAGATGACTGAAGCCAGGATCCCACTGGCTTTTGCATTTCGTCCACTGGTGGCAGGGAATCAAGGAGGCAGCCATCCTCTGCTCCTTTCCCAGGCACCTCAGCAGGGAGCTGGCTTGGCAAGTAGGCTAGCTGGGACTTGAACTGGAGCTCATATGGGATGTTGGTGCCGCAGACAGCGGCTTAATGGGCTGCACCACAAAACTGGCTTTTATTACAGTCCTTTGTTACAGATACTATGCATTTGTTTTCTTTGACAGTGGTTTTCTTGGGAAAACTTATGTTGCCCGAAGTTTTTTGTCTGTTTGAATTTTTTTTTAACACTGCGGCAGGTTGGATTGTCTTGCACGTTTAGTAGCATTTTGCAAGCAAGTAAAAGGCAAAATAGTTACTCTAAATTACTAAGAGTAATTAGAGAATAAGAAAATAATTAGTAATTAGAGAATAAGAAAATAAAAAGTAATTAGAGAATAAGAAAATATTAACTTAGCCGTATACTTTTCTGATCCATTGTTGACCTTTTTTACTGTGCTGTGTGCTCATTGTGGAATAGAAATTTGAGGAGTTTAAATTTACATTATAGTGTATGTCAGATAAAAAACAATAATACATCTATTCATTCTTCTCTCCAGATTACAGTGGCAGGAGGCCAAAGACCACAAGTTTTGTGCCACTTAACAAAAGCAACAATCTTAACACATTTGAGGTGGAGGCTTTTTGGCGCGTCTCCTGAGACCCACATCGTTTGCACTTGAATTCTGGCTCTGTGATTTATTACCAGTGAAGTTACGTTAACCTGCTGGTACCTTAGTTTCCTTGCTGTAGCGTGGGAGCGAGCATGCTTCAGGGAGCCATTGAGAGGCTTGTACTCTTTTTAGAACAATTACCGCTTGTAAGGTGCTTAGAACAATCTGGTAATTTTCACTTGCATTGTCGAAACTACTTGAAACTACTAAAGTGTATTTCAGTTGCATGGGAATTTATGTAAGTATTAATGTTGAAGTGTTCCGGAGTGATTAGGCTTTCCTAGGTATTTGATAGGTCCTAAGAAAGCTGGTGTCTTTCACTTCTTTCTTAATCTGATATTTAATATTGTGAGGTACATGGAAGTATGGTTTGTGAATTTGAGATACAAATTGAAACTTTGATACTTGAGGGTTTTCATATATATATATATATATATGGCTGATTTGTCAGAATTTTGGTCCATCACATGCAATTAAGTTACACTGAGGAAATGTTGCTTAAGACTAATTCATAATTCATTACCTGGTTTGCAGCATCAGTGTCTCTCACCAGGCCATTTTCCACAAGAAGCAAGTTTTAGGGAACCTGCTTAACATACGTTGTTGTGTGACATAAAGGCCCAGATTATTAGGAATTCGAACTTTGGGAGCATTTGGAAAACACATGAGAAATTGTCTTTAATTAATTCTCCCAGTGGAACAAATTCGTTGAAGAATCAGTTTAGTAATCCTCTTGGATCAGAGGACCCCGGGGCTGCCAGGCAGCTCTCAGGGGTTGTTCTGCTTAGCTCTGCTCCATCTCGGATTTCTGTTTGCAGTTTGTGTGTTTCCGGAACAATTTATGCCAGCCGTACCTTTATTGTAATCATCCAGCGTCCTCATGTATCTTGAAAGCTTAAATAGAATTTGTTGTTTTTCTCAAGAACTAAGTTGAATGCCATAGAGATGTGTTTGTAAGATGAACTGTTTAAAAAATCCATCAAGTTAATGGGTCAGTAGACCTGCTGGAGGTTAGTTAGCTTGGACAAGAGAGCTTCTCTTGAGGGGCCCGTGGACCGCTGCTGGACCAGGAGGGGCCCGTTTCCCTTGAGTTCATGAGAAGAAAATAGCAAAGCACTTAGAAAGGAAAGATTTAGAGGTTGTGAACTGCCCCACAATAGAGAAAGTCGTCCTTCAGTTAGTGGTATGTAGTGTGCAGTTGAGATTTTTTTTAATGATCTTATATTTACATGGCTAATTTACATGAATAACACAAAGACAAAAAACAAAAGCAAAACCTACCCCTGAACCAAAAGGCACGCGTCCCTTCTACTTGGCTTCTTCAGCTGTTCCTGTTTGCCCTGTGTCATCCTATCTTTTTATCATTTCTTCTGAACCTTGTAAGAATGTGCTCCAGACACGGTGTTTGTTTCTATTTAAATCGTTAGTTGTAAATATCCTGAAAGCAAAGGCTTATCACCGTGACATTGTCTCCGAGGCTTGGAATCAGTGTTCCCGATCATGTGTTTACAGCCGAATAAGATCTAAAGTTCACGTGTTGCAGCGAGTGCACATTTTGTTTAGACCCTGTTGGCTGCAAATCCTACATGTCCCCGGGCGTCATGCCAGTGGCATTCAGAAGAGTTGAGACCACGTTCTTGTACTCTCCCCTGCAGTTAGGTTTGCTTGACGTTTCCTGGTGAGGAGCGTCAGGGTGGGTGCTTGGGGCAGGACCACCGGGGCAGGACCACCGCTGATGGCCCGGCACGTGGTGCGGGCTAGCTCGGTGACCTGACGCTGGGAACACTGAGTCTTTGCTTAAGGAGTTAACTGCCAGGTTTCTGCTTCCGGAAGTCACTCTGAAATTAATGTACTTGTCCCCCTCCCCCCTACCTTCCCGTGTACTGCCTGTACTTGAACCCCCCCTGTACTTCCTGTACTCATTTACTCCTCAGATTCTCTCCTGGCAGTGTCAGCCTTTAGTCACAGCCTGAATCAGTTGGTGTGACAATTGTCACAGTGACTTCCTTGTTAGTGCTTGCTGCTGTGGGGTTGTGAGGAAACATCTTGTGTGTGTGTGTGTGTGTGAGAGAGAGAGAGAGAGATCAGGGTGGACCAGTGAACCCCTGCTTGGTTAGGTGTGATATTGAAAATCTTCACAGATAGGACACTTTCCGGTGCCTTGTGTTGTGAACCTTATGTTAATGCATTTCACCTGATTTTCTGTTAGGCTTTTAATCTTCCCCCCTCAATATTTATTTACATTTAGGGATATTCTTTGTGAAGTCAGTTTATATGTGGGTTTTTTTGTTTTTTTTTTTTTACCTTTTGTTTGATGTTTCCATGTGGAAACTGAGAGCATTTTGTGTTAAGATTGAGCATTCCTTGTGAAGCATTTCAGGTATGGGTGTTTATCTTGGAATATTTACATAGATTTTGTCACTTGAAGGTTCCTTGACTTTTCTCACTTGAAGGTTCCTTTTTTGGTATTTCAAAACTCAAAGGTTTGAAAATTTGGAACAATTTAGATTTTGGATTTTTAGGTTTGCATTCAGCCTATGTAGTTAATACCATTTTCTTTCGCTGCCTGTGAGTTGTGATACAGAAGTGTTTCTGTACGCCTTATTTTCTTCTGTTGTGTGTTTTCATTTGAACCTGATCCATTTTGAGTATCTTGTGTGACGTTTGGATGTGATTCATCTTGGACCTGGCAGTGTTGGTTGGCGGGTACCCAGTACTCTCCGTGCCCAGAGATGCCACTTTCGCCCTGTGTCGCTCTGTGTGCGCTTTGATTCATCTCGACAGTTTGTAGCTCGTTCTGCCTGCTGCCTTTGGACAACGTACCGGCACCACACTGATTCCGTTAGCAAGGGCCAGCGGTGGGTCTTAATGCCTGGTAGGGCTAGTGTTCCTGGCTCTTGTATTTTAGTGCTTTGTAATTATTTCAAAGATGAGGAAGTCTGATTGGGAACTGAGGAATTTAGGATTGCTAAGTGATATTATCGTGTATTTTTCCCAGATAATCTCTTGCTCAAAAGATGCTGGACTCTGGTGCAGTGGTCAAGACAGGATGTGGGGATGCCCAGATTCCATGTCAGAATGCCTGGTTCAAGTCCTGCCTGCGTCTCCTCAGTTGAGCTTTCTTCTAATGCAAAGCTCAGGAGACAATAATTGATGGCTCGAGTCTCTGGGTCCCTGTCACCCATGTGGGAGACCCATTTAAGCTCCTGGCTCCTGGCTTCAGCCTGCCTCAGCCACAGGTGTTGAGGGCATTTGGGGAGTCAGTCTGTCTCTCTGTCTCTCTCTTTTAAGCTCTTTTAAAAAATTATTATTTTAAGTGATGTTTACCTAGTTGATCAGGGTAGGAAGGATCTAGGGTTAGGGAAAAGTGGGTGTGATGATTGTTTCCAAACTTTCTATTTGCTCTTCCCATTTCTGGGGCATAAGGGGATTGGACATACTCAACCTCCCAGCCATCCCGGTGCCCGAGGATGGGGAACGCCACCGATATCAACCCAGGTTGTCTCTGTCTCTTGACTGTCTCTTTGCCTTTCAGTTAAAAAAAAGAAAAAAAGAAAGAAAAGCAAAGGGTAAAGGTGCTTAAGTATCTGAAGATGACTAAGTTTGTAACTAATAACAGTGTATTAAGTACATATATATGAAAAAACAGAAATCACTGGATCAAAGCCACTTTTCCTCCCTGTCATGCTGACTTTTTTTTTCCTGGCCCTATTCTCTCTTTATAAGGTCCTGTATTGGATGTCAGTTGGACACTGTTGCTTCTCAATTGGACTGTGGTTTAAAAATGTGAACTATGACATGATGCTGATTGTTGTGCCTGTAGGCCGGAAGGTCACTGGGCCAGGCTGCCTGTGCTTGGCCCGCAGTGTACTGTCTGTACTTGGCCCCCCACCCCATGTACTGTACTTGGCCCCCCCACCCCCTCCCTCCCGTGTACTGTCTGTACTTGGCCCCCCCGACCCCCGGTGTACTGCACTTGCCCTCCTGTGTACTGTCTGTACTTGGCCCCCCGACCCCCCGGTGTACTGCACTTGCCCCCCCCCCCTCCTGTGTACTGTCTGTACTTGGCCCCCCGACCCCCGGTGTACTGCACTTGCCCTCCTGTGTACTGTCTGTACTTGGCCCCCCGACCCCCCAGTGTACTGTACTTGGCACCACCCCCCCCCCACTGCCGGTACTTGGTCGGGTGAGAGCAGATGGCCTGCAGGTAGTCTGAAGAATGTCAAGTGTTGTGAGGGACCGGTGTCAACCACGTGCTTTACTTAGGTTACTGGCCTCAAGTCATTTTGTCTGCTCTGTGATTTCTGTGATCACTTTGCAGTGATTTAACAGTATTTGAAGATAATGCAGTATTTTTTAATTTAGAATCATTGTCATTATCGGGGCTATGTGGAAGGAGTTGATAATTCATCTGTTGCCCTTAGCGACTGTTCTGGACTCAGGTAAGGAATTTTCTGTTTTTTTTCTTCTCCATTTGTTACCTCATTTTTTATCCCAGGCTTGAATTGAAATCAAGTCATTTATTTGCCACTACTGGCTTTTTCTTTGGTAGTGCTGCTATGTTTCAGACATGCTTGGCATGTTTATTTAAGAAGATATTCTAGTCGGTAAATTTTAAAAGCAAAAAGGCCATTTTATTCTTTGAGACCATTAAATAATCTTTTCCTGTTTGAAATATGCTTTGGATTTTGGTGTTACTTTGTCTTTATGAAATTTTGCCCGTCTTTTTCATGTAACTCCCATGAGGACCGAGAAGTACTCATTTTCTTCATATTCCAAGGAATAAGCAAAGGCTTAGAGGAAAGCGTGTCACACATCAAGTGAAACTCTAGTTTTAAGATTCTGTTTATTGAGGGCCTGGCAGTGTGCCACTGCTTGTTGGTTGACTGCGAGATTATATGATTGCTTGCGCTAGTAAATAGCTTTAGTTCTCAAACCAAATATGAGATTCAAGTATTTGTGATTCTCTGTGTATAACAGTTACTGAATTGGGTGAAGACAGTGCTCCCAGCCGTCTGTGTTGGTTCTGTAATTTAATTTTCAGAGCAGTTTTGTACAGATTGTCAGCTAAGGCAGAGGCTGGGTCCTGTGGGTGCAGGTCACACCCTGCTGACCAGTGCTTTTGTAACGCCTCCTGCCTTCCAGTACTCATTCCGACAGGCTAGTGGCTTGCAGTCAGCGATGGAGTACACAGCATCTGTTTTCCAGTTAGACCTAAAACTTCCACTTCCTGTCTATATCATGACACCCCTTTTATGCACGTTAAGAACTGGCGATGAAGTTCAAGTTTCTTGATTCCTTTTCCTGTATGTATTTTTTTTTTCCCCTTAAAAATGGTGTTCGTGAATACGACATTTAGAGGATTGCTACATTTAGAGGATATAAGTTATGGAATTGAACCCCTGCAAAACAGTCCTCATTTTGAACACATGTTTTATCGAATGGATGATGTTCACAAAGAGCCTCTGAAATGCGGAGTGTCCGCTTTGGGTGCGGAGGAAGAAGCAGCGGATACCGAAGAGGAGCCGCAGCCCAGCGTGACTCAGCTGCTCCGGGTAAGGAAATGGTGGCGCTTGCCGTGGTTGACTGGAGCCTTCTAAGATCATGTACTAACTGCATCACTGGTTTCCTTCCTTCCTTCATCCTTTTACCAGTCACGTGCCAGACGGTAGAAAGATGAGCAGTATGCAGTTCCTGCTACCAGCTTGGGTAGAGTTGATTCTGTGTTTCGGAAGCCCGGGCTTAAGCCTAAAACAAGTAGCCATATGTTAGCACTGCTGGAGAAATAGTGCTTTATGCTGGCTTTAGAGAGCAGTGGCGTTAGATACTTCATACACAAGCTGGAGTGGGGATTCTTTGGTTCTAGATTGGAAAGTGAGAGAGACTTTACATTTTAATTATTTCAGCTGTCTCTCTAGGACACTCATATCCTACTTGTTTTAGTTGATTAGCAGAGTCAGTATAGTTCACAGATACAATGCTATGAATCTAATAATGTTCCTTTCCCGCTTTGCTTCACCCCGCTCCTGTTCCCTCCCTTCCCCCTCTCAATCCCTCTGTCCCTTTCCTTCCTTTGTTTCTTCCTCCTTTCTTTCCTTTCGTTTATTGAGGGAACAATAATGACATTTATTACAGTCAAAGGCTTAATTCTTTAGCACATGGGAAGTTTAATAGGTAAAAAGCCGAAGACCTTAGTTGAGGAAGAATATGGACAAGGGCTGTAAACCGTAGTTGAATGGAACGGTGACCACTTCACCCATATACAGTAAATTATAAAGCAATCACAGATCATTGAGAAAATGGTAATATATAAAACAATAGTAATATAATATTCTTAACCATTGGTTTGATAAGGGTATGCAACAAAAGTTTATAAAATTGTTTATAGCAATACTGATACATGAAGGCATTCCTTTATTTTTTATGTATTAAATTTCAGCTCCAAAATATAAGGGAAAATATGTGGCATTTACCTTTTTATATTGGCTTGTTTTACCTAGCTTGAATTTATCCATTGCATTCATTTCGCTGCAAATGGCAGATTTCCATTTACAAAAAAAAATTCCATTATGTATAGATACTGCATTTTATTAAACCTGTGATTCAGTGATGGATAGTGGGGCAAACAAAAATGCTACAGAATGAAAGAAACTATCTACACTCCGTGTATAAGACACCTTTGTCTTAATATCCAGAATATATAAGGAACTCGAAATTAGTGACTGAAGAAGCTTCTGGCTTCCCCTAGCTCGGGCCCGGCCTTGTGGCCATTTAGAAAGTGAACCAGTGATTGAAGACCTCCCTGCAATTCTGCCTTCCAAATCAATAAATACATCTTAAGAAAAGGAAGCATGTTTCCGCATTAATTCATACTGGTTTATGGCATTTTTTTAAAAGTAAAAACTTTTTTTTAAAAAATATGGAACGCGGGTCATCGTTGCGCAGGGGCCATGCTAATCTTCTTTGTATTGTCCCAATTTTAGTATATACGCCGCTGAAGCGAGCACGTAGAAACGTTTTTAATTGTAGACGATGTTGACGTAGCCGATCAGGGTGGGAAGCACTGAGGGCTAGGGAAAAGTAGGGGCCATCATTGTTTCCAAATGTCCTATTTCTTCCTGTTTCTGGGGGAAGGGAGGCGATAAGGGGGAAGAGCTGTACCCAGCCTCCTGAGCGCCCCAGGACCTGGGGAAGGGAATGGCCACCTGATCCCAGCCCAGGGTCCTGATGTGGCACGCTCTGAGGGTTCTGTCCAGGTGGTTTAGATAGCTCTGAAATGCTGTTGACCTCAGTGGTCCCGGAAGGAGGAGACCTTTCCAACGTCTGTTGGCTGACACAGTTGACCTTACAGTCTCCATTCCCCCAGGTTTTTGCAGTCATTGTTTGGCTGGGGTAACTGTCCAGTTTGTTCTGTTCTCCTTCCTCTGCTGTGGGAACCGATGTCCTCTGCAGTTCTCAGTGGGCTGCCCTGACTTCGACATGCATGGGGCCTGCCCTCTGTTAACCGCCTTTTCCGGTGAGGAGGACCTGTTCTCGCAGGTGGGCCCCAGGATCTGGGACTGGTGACTCAGGCCCCGAATTGTCTCTTTGTTATCTTTTTTTGAATCATTGTACTTTTTTTTTTTAAAGATTTATTTTTAATTTTTATTGGAAAGGCGGATATACAGAGAGGAGAGACAGAGAGGAAGATCTTCCGTTCGATGATTCATTCCCCAAGTGAGCGCAATGGCCAATGCTATGCCGGTCCGAAGCCCGGAGCCTCTTCCGGGTATCCCACGCGGGTGCAGGGTCTCAAAGCTTTGGGCCATCCTCGACTGCTTTCCCCAGGCCACAGGCAGGGAGCTGGAAGGGAAGCGGGCCGCCGGGATTAGAACCAGCGCCCATATGGGATCCAGGCGCGTTCAAGGCGAGGACCTTAACCGCTGCGCCATCGCGCTGGGCCCGAATCATTGTACTTTTATCTTTATTTTGGCTATTTAAAAATACTTATTTGGGAGGCAGAATTTACAGAAAGATAAAGAGAGAAAAGTTATTCCGTCTGCTGGCTCAACACTCAGTTGCCACGCTGGCTGGGGCTTGGCCAGGTGGAAGACTACTTGCAGGTCTCCCAGGTGTCAGGGGCCCATGTACTTGATCCGGTTTCTGCTGTTTTCCCCAGTGCAGTAACACGGAGCTAGATTAGAAGTGAAGCAGCTGGGACTCAGACTGGAGCTTCTAGAGGATGCAAGCATTGCACCTGAATGCCAGGCCCTGTACTTTTTTAAAGTTTAAACCTTGGAAACCATAAACCTTTACATTTTCTTTCTGTAGGAACTTCTGTAAAATGACAGAATTAGTCATTTTTTTTAAAGTGACAACCTTGTCCCAGTTCTTGCTCTATGATATTGACGTATATTAAATATTTTTTTCCTCTCTCAACATAAGTCACTGGGTTTCTCGTTAAAATGTGAATTTGCTTGTAGTTTTATCTTAAAAAATCGATAATCCTTTTTTTTTTGGAGGGGAAGCTTTCGTGTAGCACCTTTTATCTTTAGAATGTCCTCTGGTAAGTTCTTCCAAATGCCATGTGTTTTTATTTTAGTGATCTAGGATAAAAGCCTTGCAGCTTTCGTATTTTTGTCTTTGTGATTTTCTTTTCTTCTTTCCTAACAGAGGAGAAGAGCTGTGTTGCCACAGACCCGATATGTGGAGCTTTTCATCGTTGTAGACAAGGAAAGGGTGAGACTGCTGACAGTTTTGCTTCTTTTTCATGAAAAGTCAGTCGTTTAGAGGGAAATATGAAATACATCTGTGTCTGATTTTTTTCCTTTTTTAGAAAAAGATTTCATTTATTCCACAGAGTTGCAATGGGAAATGGAGAGACAGAGTAATCTTTCGTCTGCTGTTTTACTGCAGCCACTGGAACGAGGCCAGGCTGAAGCCCGCAGCTGGACGCTCCGTCTTGGCTTCCCCAATGGGTGCCTGGGTCCTCAGCTCTGCTTTCAGCAGGTGGCTGACCTGGACGTGCAGCAAACAGATGCCATGACACAAGCAGAATCTGTTTATATCTTTTCTTTTCTTTTGTAAAGATTTACTTATTTTTTACTGGAAAGAATGATTTATTGGAAAGATCTTCCTTCTAGTGGCTCACTCCTCAAGTGGCTGCAGTGGCTGGAGATGAGCTGATCCAAAACCGGGAACCAGGAGCTTCCTCTCCGTTTCTCCCAGGGTTGCAGGGGCCCAAGATCTTTGGCCATTCTTTCATGCTTTCCCAGGCCAGCAGGGAGCTGGAAGGGCAGTGGAGCAGCTGGGACACGAAGCAGCATCCATATAGGATTCTGGTGCTTGCAAGGAGAGGATTAGCCAGCTGACCCTTGCTGGCACCATGCTCACAAGTAGAATATTAACCTACTGTATCTTGATACTCATCCCTGTATACATTTTATTAAATGATAATTAATAATTAAAATGGCTTTATCGTATAATATACCACCAGAAGCTGAATGTAGCAAATGAACCTCTCTTTCATTTGCTTTCTTTGTGTGTGTGTGTGTGTGTGTGTGTGTGTGTGTGTGTGTGTGTTTGTCCTCCTGGTGATTTGCTCATGTGGAATTCTTTTCTTAAAATGTTTAGTCACAAATTTTGCTTGAGAGGTAGAGAAGGTTCTCCTGTTCACTGGTTCACTTCTCTGAATGCCCACACCGGCTGACCCGTGCTGGGCGTGCAGTGGGCTCTCCCGCATGTCCCCTCTGCCGCTCCCGGTCTGCGTTAGCAGGAACTGAGATGAGGAGCTGGCACCGGGTCTCAGAGGCAGGAGTTCTGCTGTGGGGTGCAGCTGTCTTGCCCACGAGGCTGACTGCCTGCTCCTTAGACAGGCTTTGTTGTGTTAAATTGTGTGTAATTCTTCTCATTTAGAGGCTTCAAAACTCTTTCAGATCAGTTTCATGAGCTGTTGCCATAAACTAAGTTAGTTTTGTGGCCTGATAAACTTGTTTTGCTTTTTAGAGTTTCAGCTAACTTGCCACATTAAGAGGTAGAAAACTTCTAGTTGTGGCATGCTTAAGAAATGAATAGTGCTAATTTTAGTATTAGGCCTCCTATACTAACGTACGATAAAAAAAAGAAAACTGAGCTGAGTGCTTTACTGAAATCATGTGTCTATTTCAGCAATTACAGGGTTATTAATTTTAAATAAAATACCAGTTGTTTGTGAAGGTGTTTGGCACGGTTGCTAAGAAGCTAGTGAGGGTACCCATGTGCCACTTTGAGTGTTTGGGTTTGATGCCTGGGTCCAGCTCCTGACCCCGACTTCGTGTTCGTGCAGATCCCGGGAGGCAGTGGTGAAGGCTCGAGTCGTTATGTTCCTGCCACCCATCTGGGACGCCTGGACTGAGTCTCTAGATGTGAAATTAAGCCCTGGGCAGACTTTGCGGGTACTGGGCAATGAACCAATGGCAAGGAGCTCTTCCTGTCTGTCCTAGCAGTCACGTTTCTCTGCCTCTCAAAAAACGAAACAAAACAGAAAACAAAAACAAACGAAAAGCGAAGCCAGTGAGACTGCTTGAGATGTTTGGTCTGTCTGTTGTTTCACCCCTGCTGCTTGTGCAGAAAGGTTATTTGTAGATACTTACTTTGATTGGCAGTTCCTCTCTTTGGAGGATTGTTATGGTTAGGGGAAATCCCTTGTCATAGGTAGCTTAGAAATAACCCACAAGTGTTATGAGACAGAAACTAAGTCTTATTTGTTTATTATAGGTTTATTATCCTCGAGTGGTAAGAGGAAAAAAGTCTAGAAAATATGATCAAGAATAAAGTCTGTCACTGTACTTGGTAAAAAATTTCTGTAGAGGGCCCGGCAGCATAGCCTAGCGGCCAAAGTCCTCACCTTGAACATGCCCCGGGATCCCATATCCCTGCTGCTCCACTTCCCATCCAGCTCCCTGCTTGTGGCCTGAGAAAGCAGTCGAGGATGGCCCAAAGCCTTGGGACCCTGCACCCGTGTGGGAGACCTGGAAGAAGTTCCTGGCTCCTGGCTTCGGATTGGCTCAGCTCCAGCCATTGCGGCCACTTGGGGAGTGAATCATCAGATGGAAGATCTTCCTCTCTGTCTCTCCTCCTCTCTGTATATCTGACTTTCCAATAACAAGAAAATAAATCTTTAAAAAAAATTTCTGTAGAATGTTTTGCAAAAGTCACGAAAACAGAGATTGACATTTCTCTGTGTGGCTCTCCCTGCAGACTCCTCACCTGGACAGATGGAGAATGGTCTGTTTCAATCAACCCCTGTCAAATGTCTTGCAAGTTTTTCTTGTTTAGAATGACGTCTGATAAAATTATGCTCATATATTCTGATGCTAAAGCCTTTATCATAGGACAAAATAAGAAACTAGGAACATTTTTATTTTGATTACTGAGCTGTATAAAATATTGTTAAGTTGGATATATTTGGATTTTGACAGATTTCGAAAAAATCAGTCATATTAATTGATTGCTCTAACTTGATTAAATTTATGTCTATATCTTTCCATATAATTTATTGATTGGTGATCATTGGCTGATCTCTCATTATTTATTATTTTATGGCACAGTTTCATAGTTTCATAGGTTCTGGGATCTCCCCTTCCCCCAGAACTCTTCCCCACAACCGACTTTCCCCCTTATTAAATTAGCCTAGGGTTTAATTTGATTAAATTTATGTTTGTTTCTGCATTTTATTGGTAGTCATTGATTACTCTTGCAATTTTTAAAAATCTTGCATTATTAAATTAACCTAATGTTTAGACACGGTTTGTGGTTATGTGGTTCGCCTAGAAGTCCTCTAGATTCATGTCTTTTACCTGTGCATTTTGGTGGTCTTAAATTCTGCATTTGCAAAATGCTCGACGATATTGTTGCATTAAAATAAAAAAAAAAGGAGAATTGAGAATAAAACTGTTTTAAGGCTATGAGAGTTTGGAGACTCTGAAGTCTGCAATGCTTTCTCATTGTTTTACACTCGTTTATATTTTAGTTGTCACTCAAATGTTGTTTCTACTTATTAATTTGAAATGTGGATAAATGTCTAAGTGCCTCAGTTTTCGGTTCAGAGGAAATACTTATTTCCTGTCTTTATTGAAACTGACATGGTGATTCGCTGACTTTGCTTTCCCAGTATGACATGATGGGTCGGAATCAGACGGCTGTGAGGGAGGAGATGATTCGATTAGCAAACTACTTGGATAGCGTAAGTTGTGTTTTCTACTAACTAGTATTACTTTGTCCTGTCCTTTCATGGTCTTAGAACAATTGCAACATTGATTCCTTTTTAGCTATGCTTATCAGAGTACCTAAATGCTTGTCTTTCAAAGATCTGTGTTCCAGCTTGTTTTGTAACTTTAAAAACATTAAAAACAAATTTGGGAGACGGGGAGGGAGGGAATGAGGAAGGGCGTGTTGGCAGCAGCCCGCTGTCTTCCTCATTCCCCAGATGCCTGGTCAGGGCGGAGCCAGGAAGGCAGTCCCAGTGTCCTCTGGCACTGGCAGGGACCTCGCCACTTGAGCTGCCCTGAGTGTGCTGTAGCTGGAAGCCAGTCCTGGGAAGGGAGGCAGAAGCTGAGGCCAGCCACGCCGTTGTGGGCTGTGGTAGCCAAGGAGAGAATTCTGAGAACTGCATAAAGTTTCATACCAATGTCTAGTTTTTTAGTGCTCATTTGTGAAAGCATCTGTGAATTTTTATTGGGAGAGTTTTATTTTAAATAAGGATGCGTCCTCCCTAAGCCAAGAAATGACAATATTAATTGTGCATGTGTATTTGTGATTTGGTGGAGATTTTGAAGGTAGTTCAGTGGGAGATGTTAGCAAATGGGATACCTGTTCTTTCAGTTTTCTCCATAAGTCATTCCCTGAGTATGAATATGAGTGCAAATATAAAGATGATAGTAATAATATTCGGCTTAATACTTAACCGTGTGCTGCCAGTTGAACTAGGCTCTTTACATCCGACAACCCAGTTACTCCTACAGTGTGTGCAGGTGCTCAGGTGCCACAGTTCTAACTGAAACCTTAGACATGCCTGTAGGGCTGTAGAACACGTGTTTCAAAGGTGACACGGTTTACCACTTGCCATGTAATTTCTCTGACTTCCTTGGGGACGCGCTTTGTGACCAAGCTCGTTGGCATTCCTGCCATGAACTTTAGAAATGTTTATAGTAAGGGCATCACCTCAGTACGTTTGGCATCAGATTTACTGGAAGTGTCTCATTTCCAGTGTTTGCCAGATTTTCAGTAAGGAAGATAGGAGTTTGATTTCTGTTAGTATCATTTTCTGAATGAGGAAACAGACTTTTTAGAAGCTAGAGTCTCATTGTATTGAAAGATTTGGGGGAATTTGGAGGGCATTGTACTTTTATGTGTAGACATTTATTCATTTGAAAGGAAGAGCAGCCAAGTAGAAAAAGAGAGATCTTCCATCTTCTGATTCCTCCCAGAATCAGAACTGTGCTGGTCTGAAGTCAGGAGCCAGGAGCTCCTTCAGGATCTGTTACATGGATAGCAGGGGCTGAAGCACGTGGGCCATCTTCCTGCTGCTTTCCAAGGCACGTTCACAGTGAGCTGGATCACAAGTGGGACTGGTGGTGGGTTGACGTGCTATGCTGCAGCGCTGGCCCCTGTCTTCTGTTGAGTTGTAGTGCTACTTCATGTGATGCAGTGATTTTTCTCACACTAGTTTTATCCTTTTTTCTCTCTCTCTTTCCCAGATGTACATTATGTTAAATATCCGCATTGTGCTGGTTGGGCTGGAGATTTGGACAAATGGAAACCTGATCAGCATCGTTGGAGGTGCTGGGGATGTGTTAGGGAACTTTGTGCAGTGGAGGGAAAAGTTTCTTATAACACGTCGAAGACATGACAGTGCACAGCTGGTTCTGTAAGCGATTTTTGTTTTTAAACCTTACTGGTGAAGAAGTGGTCAGGAGAGTAATAATGTTTTTAGGCATTCATTTAAATGAGGGAATACCAAAGCACACGTGTGACTTTATAAAAATGACACGTGTCTGCTGTGTCGGCATTCTTTGTCACCTAAACCGCCTTCTCTCTTGGGTGTATTCCCCTCATTTGGTACAACGTGTGATCTCATTGCTTTTGGTGGTGGGTTGTATGTCTGCAAGCTGTGTTTTCGCACTTCACCCCAGCTGAGTTCTGATGATCCTTTTCTATTTCTTGTTTTTTTAAAAATTATTATTTATTTAATTTAAAAGATTTACTTATTTTTATTGCAAAGTCAGACATACAGAGAGGAGGAGAGACAGAGAGGAAGATCTTCCATCGGATGATTCACTCCCCAAGTGAGCGCAATGGCTGGTACTGTGCCAATCCAAAGCCAGGAACCAAGAGCTCTTCTGGGTCTCCCACACGGTCCCAAAGCTTTGGGCCGTCCTCGACTGCTTTCCCAGGCCACAGGCAGGGAGCTGGATGGGAAGTGGAGCAGCCGGGATTAGAACCGGTGCCCATATGAGATCTCGGCGCGTTTCAAGGCAAGGACTTTAGCCGCTAGGCCATGGTGCTGGGCCTGAGCTCTGATGATCCTAACCCAGGGATGCTTTGTGCTGTTTTGTAACTGCCTCGGTTATTTGTCCCTTTGCCCTTGAACTCACTGTTGCTTTTTGAATTCCTGAGAAGGCTGAGATCATTCTGGTTCCTGGATCTTTACCCACGGCCTGCATTTTTTTCCTCGTTGCTGGAAATGTAGCGTCCAGGCAGCAGGGAGGAGGGCCTGAGGGAGAGTGTTGGGCGGGGAGCCCTGACTCTTCATGTTCTCACTGCGTTGTAGCTTCCTGTGGGAACGCATTGGGTTCACAGGTCTCTGCACTAACACTGATTTTTGGAAAGGCTTTCATCCAGAAGGTGAAAGAAACAAACACATTTGGTATCTAGAAGTTATTGCTATTCATCTGAAAAAAAATGTAAAAGTGCTTTTTGTAATATTAATCTGATTCCATGATAGCAAAGAGATAAGCCAACTGTATTTTGATTTTAAAATGCTGTTTGTCTTTGCCATTTCCTTGCAGCTTTTGTAGGCTTTTACCAATCCAGTTAAGATTATCTGTAATAAGAATAGAAGAAATGTGATTCTTTTTTTCCCAGGTACATTTTATAACTTTAACCTTTTCATTTAGAAAGAAAGGTTTTGGTGGGACTGCAGGAATGGCGTTTGTGGGAACAGTGTGTTCCAGGAGCCACGCAGGTGGGATCAATGTGGTACGTTGTTCTCGATGTTTGCCTCTGGACGCCACCGTAGCACAGTAGCCAGCACTTCCTGACCGTCTTTCCTCCCCTAATCCTTGCAGCAATATTTTTGCTGTTATAATAGGACACAGTAGAGGTAGCGTGTTCTTTCCTGTGAGATGAGATTAAGCTAATATTTCTAAAAGTTTTGGTTGTTTCTTTACCTTTGACGGAGGAGGAAAGAGTCTGAGAGAATCAAATAAGAAAGATCAATTTGACTTTTGCATAAATTACTTTGAGCCATTGATCGTAAAAACTGTTGTGTTGTTTAAGGATCCATCGCTGTCATCGGTATTATACCGATTTCAGAATCATCCTGGATTTAGATGTTTAACAGCGATTGCAAGATGCTTAGTTTATCATGTGGACTGCGGATAACGTAGTTAATAAATGTTTTTTTGTGATAAAATAATCTAAGAACCAACACATTTCCTTTTTGTTCAGAAACCTAATTACTGCCTTCCTGTTTTTTTGGACAGTTTGGGCAAATCACTGTGGAGACATTTGCATCGATCGTAGCTCACGAGCTGGGTCACAACCTTGGAATGAATCATGATGATGGCAGAGATTGTTTCTGTGGGGCAAAGAGCTGCATCATGAACTCGGGAGCCTCGTGAGTAGCCGACTTCCTCCTCCTCCTCCTCGTACTAAGAAGATAATTTAGATTAGTATTTCTTCTATTCTGAAGGATTTTCATGTTCCCATTGAGAAAACAGGAAAAGGTTTTCCTGGCTCTTTGTGAAATAAATTACATGATGACCTATTGAGAGGCCAGTTTCTCTTGTTTTTTAAAGATTTATTTTTGTTTTTATTGGAAAGTTAGATATACAGGGAGAGGAGGAGAGACAGAGAGGAAGAGCTTCCATCCAATGATTCTCTCTGCAAGCAGCCACAATGGCTGGAGCTGCACCAATCCGGAGCCAGGAGCCAGGAGCTCTTCCAGGTCTCCCACATGGGTGCAGGGTCCCAAGGCTTTGGGCCGTCCTCGACTGCTTTCCCAGACCACAGATAGGGAGCTGGATGGGAAGTGGAGCTTCTGGGATTAGAACCGGCATCCGTATGGGATCCTGGCGCATTCAAGGTGAGGACTTTAGCTGCTAGGCAATCGCACCTGGGCCCTTCTCAGAGCTTTAAGGAGAAAACATTTATATCTGCACAGTTATGTAGCTATGTTCCTCCATAAACTAAATGAGAGGCCCCAGGCAAAAGAACATGGAAAACCTTATATCTGAATTAGAAATGAGGGAAATTTCTGCTAGATTCACTGTAGGTTAGTTTAAGCTGAAGGACTGTCTGAAAAATTTCCTCAGAAACCTCTTCTTGAGAAAACACTGCATGGTTATAGTAAGTAAAAAAAAGAAATCTTAACATACGCTTAATGAGAAAAGTCCTGTTCTGCAGAGATGCAAGTGGCAAGCCAGAGAAGAGAAAAAAACAGATGGGGTTGATGAGTTAAGCTGTTGGTTTGTTGAGGCCCGATTAGAGGCAGCGTGAATGATGTCCTCGCCTTACTGCCCAGGCAGCCGTGAGGCGCTGGTACTGCGCTGTCTCCACGGAGCCAAGAGGATGTCGCACAAGCAAATCTCTGACTCGGACATGAAGTCAGCAACTCAGGGTCCCAGGCTAAGGAGTCCATCTTTTTTTTTTTTTTTGTTTAAATTAATAATGCTTTATTTATTTACTTCTGCTTGAGTTACTTAATATTAGAACAAAATGAACGCAGAATGAAGAAATGTTTTAGCCTGAGGGATACAATATGACAAACAGTAGTCTTGGTCACGTGAGAGCCATAAGTGCGTATACGTTGTACAATGTTTTTTTAATATATTCTTATTTCTTTTTCTTTTTTTTTTATATTTTTGACAATCTTTACGTAGTTAATTAGGGTAAAAAGGGTCAAGGGCTATAGGAAAGTGGGTAAGACTATTATTTCCATATTGTTTCCTTCATATATCTGAGGTAAAGGGGATATTGAGGGAGAAGCCCCACCGAGTCTTCCACCCACCCCAGGTGGGGCATGCTCTGAGATACTCGCTCAAGTGGTTTTGATAGTTCACCAGTTCTGAATCGCTGCCAATCTTGCCAATCCAAGCACAATGAGGTCGTTGAAGAATCCACTGATTGACAGTCCGTCATAGAGTCTCCATTTGTCCAGTATTTCGCTGCCAACATATAGCTGAGGTGGTTGATTGACCTGTTCTGTTTTCCGTCTTTTCCTGGTTAGGGATCTGAGTCCGGCATTTTGATTGGGGAGATCCCCAAAGAAACTTTGAGGTATTCCCAGACCAAATTCTTGTATGTTCTAGCAAGCATAGGGACCGGCACAGTCCATCACCCCAATCAGCTGGTTTGCCCCATGACAGCTACTCACACTCTCCATGGAAGTAGCTGTGCGGCAACGGAACCACCCCTTATTCCCCTGCCTGCTCTGCCCACTCCTTTCCTGGTTCTCACGCATGCTGGTTGGGTGCTGCGGTCACATCCGGTAGAGGCATCCTCACCTTGACATTCCATATTGTGCACTGGTTTTTGTCATGACCGAACCTGGCTCAACCCACACTCTGTTCTGCTGCTCAGATTTGCCAGTGGATGACGTGAACTGATTCAGACTGGTCTGCCCCCGACCCATGCCGAATGTATGCCAGTGGGAAGCTTTCCATGGCCTGTTCTGGGCTGTTTCCTATCATGCTTCTTGCACTTACCTGCTGGGTCTGTGTCCTGCCGGAGGAGTTGCCCAGGCTCCTCCATCAGAACCTCTCCCAATGCCAGATTTTGCACATACCAGTGGGTCCATGAGCCAGCCCTACTCAGTTCACCTCTGTCTTAGCAGGAACAGTGGCTTTTCCTGACTGGGCTTCAACCCAAACTGGTCCTTTCTATTGGATGTTTCAGCCCAGCCATGAGTCGTCCATACCCACATATGGCTCACACATGGCTCAGTAGGGGTTGAGACCTAGCCTAGTCTGTCCCACATCTACCCTGGTCCTCCAGGACACCAGAGGGTGTTGGGGTCTGACCCTGGCTGGTGCTTCTAGTCCCAGTCCACACTTGTGCCAAGGGAGACTACAACTGCTTCCTGATCAGAATGAAGCCCCCATTCCAGCCCACGTGCCCCTTGGTGGGAACCTCAACCCAGTTAGGGTGTCCCCTTAGGTCCCCAACCAGGCCTGTTCCCAGCCATAGATCACGTGCATGCCAGTGGTTGCTCTGACTCAGCTTGATTCAGCTCCTCACTTGTCTGGCCTCTGCCTTAGACCTTTGGCTTAGCATCCCTGTCTCCCGCAGACAAGTAGGTGTAAGAGCCTAGGTCAGCATGACTTGTGCTCCATGCTAGTTTCTAGTTTCTAGCTTGTAGGCTGAGGTTTGCTCAGTCCTGCCCAGTATGGAGCAGTACGGGATTTAAGCAAGACGCTCTGTCCTGAGGCCCACGAGCAGCCAGGAGGTTGCTGGAAGTTTAAACCCCCAGGCCCAAGATCACGCCCCTCCCTAATCCCTTCCACTGCTCAGTGAGAGCGGCAGGTGGGCCCTGGATTCCTGGACTCCGGGCCCGCCCAACCCAGCCCTGGAGACTTACCTCAAAGGCAGCAGCCCCCAGAGCCCACGCAGGCTCCGGGGACAGCTCACCACATGCATGTGGTACTGGAGCCGAGATCCGAGCAAGATGCTCTGTCCTGAGGTCCACCAGCCAGAAGGTTGCTGGAAGTCTAAACCCCCAGGCCCAAGGTCGTATCTTTCCCCAATCCCGTCCACTGCTCCGTAAGAGTGGCGGATGGGACACGGAGACTTATCCTGAAGGGAGCAGCTCTAGGAGCCCAGGCAGGCCTGGGGACAGCTCACCATGTGCACATGGTGGCTTGACGTGGAATCTGAGCCAGATGCCCAGTCCTGAGGCCCACCTAGGATTCCATTTTAAGTGATTACAGTTGAGGGTTCAAGGGTGGGTTGGCTTCTGTCTTAGGTTCACTGTAGTGCATCAAAATTCCTTCTTCTTTTAGCAGGTTTTTCTAAACAGAGAAGTGAACATAGCCACAGTGGAAATGCGGATTATTAAGCAAACCTGAGAGATTAAGTGCGAGACGTCCCCATCTTTATTATGGAGCACAGATGGAGATTTCATATGGGAGATAGCTGTGGCCCCCAAGTTCCGCTCAACTTGCCTCTTTCAGGCTTCTGAGCACAGTTCTGCAGTTGAAGGTCTGAGAGTGCAATCCGAAAGGGAAGCACTCCAGCAGAATTTAGACTGTCTTTGAGTCCATCTCAGGATCCAAAATATATAGAATAATTAAAATAGTGCTTATGGAAAAATGATTCTTCATAAAATATACATGCATAAGAAAAGGAGAGGAAATAAATTTAGCATTCGTTTTGCTTGATGGCAACGGAAGACATCAGGGAACAAATCAATAAAGAACAATAAGATAAAAAGAATATTCAGAGTTACAGGAAGAATGCCATAAAACAGTGTCACAAGTAGAATAGTTTTTTTTTTAATTAAAAAATTTTTTGATGATTTTTACTTACCTGATTAGGTTGGGAAGGGTCAAGGGTTATGAGTTTGCACATTTTCTTTTTTTTTCTTTCCTTCCTGTTTCTGGGGGGAAGGGAGCACATACAGGGAGAAGCTTCACCCAAACCTCCTTACTGCATCAGTACCAGGGGATGGGGAGTGGCCAGAGAGGAAGATCTTCCGTTTGATGATTCACTCCCCAAGCGACTGCAATGGCTGGAGCTGAGCCGGTCCGAAGCCAGGAGCTTCTTCCAGGTTTCCCACACGAATGCAGGGTCCCAAGGCTATGGGCCATCCTTGACTTCCTACCCAGGCAACAAAGCAGGGAGCTGCGTGGGAAGCAGGGCTGCTGGGACGTAAACTAGAGCATATATGGGATCCTGGTGGACTTTATCCAGCAGGCTACGGCACCAGGCCTGACTCAATGAATTTTTTGATAAAAGTGAGGACTATAGTAAGGAAGATCCCAGTGAAGATTGTATTAATATTGGGTGATTCCATGTTTTGGAGAAGTGGCATAATAAATATCAGTAGTCTCATAGTAAAAGATCAAGAAGTCATGACATTGACATTTTTAGGTTGTATTTTTTAATTTCAAAGGAAGAGGTAGGATAGAGATGGAAGGAGAGAAAAATTAAGGCTTTGATGTGCTGATTTACTCCCAAATGATTGGAGTAGCCAGGGCTGGGCCTGGCTGAGGCCAGAGCTGGGGACTTAGTCCAGATGGGGCATCTGGCTGTGCTTTTGCAGATGCGTTAGCAGAGCTAGATTGGAAATGGAGCAGTCTGACTCGAATCGCTGACCATGTAGGATACCAGCATTGCAGGAGGCAGCTTACACTACTTCACCACACTGCCAGCCAAACACTGACATTTAAAATATTTTAAAATTATGATTAAAACCGTTGACATGAGATGTGCATTTAGTGGATCTGACTTGAATGTCTTGCAGGACTGAAGGCTTTTGCTTTTTCTTTTTTTAAAAGATTTATTTAAATTGTAAAGTCAGATATACAGAAAGGAGGAGAACAGAAAGGAAGATCTTCTGTCCAGTGGCTCACTCCCCAAATGACCACAGTGGCCGGAGCTGTGCCGGTCTGAAGCCAGGAGCCAGGAATCTCTCCCAGGTCTCCCCTGTGGGTGTAGGGTCCAAAGCTTTGGGCCATTCTTGACTGCTTTCCCAGACCACAAACAAGGAGCTGGATGGGATTCGGGGCCTGCTGGGATTAGAACTGGCACCCACATGGGGTCCCAGTGTATGTGAAGGCGAAGACTTTGGCCACTAGGCTACAGTGCAGGGCCCCAGACCTGAAGTTTTATACCTGCTGATCCACAAGTCTCTGCTAGACACACTTGTGGTACAATTTTAAGTTTTGATCTTTGCTTCCAAGAGTTTGGTTATCCTAGATTTCTTATTTGTCATCATGCAGTATTTGTTCTGTTACTGGCTTATTTCACTTAACATATTGTCCTTGAAGTTATTCTTGTTACACATGTGAGGAATTCCTTCCGTTTTAACACCGAGTAATAGTTTGCTGTGTGCATAAACCGTTGCTCAACCTGATTTGAAAGAGATTGTTCCAGAACTCAAATCTTTCCTGATTTTGGAATGTTACTGTTCATGGTTGAGGTATTTAGCATTTTGATATACATATAGATAATAAACAGGCTGCAGTCCAGCAGATTAACATGTCCATCCTATGCAGCTTTTTAAAGAGTTTTGTAGCAGGGCCTGACGTGATGGCTCAATTGGCTGAAATGCTCCCCTTGCAAGTGCTGGGATCCCATGTGGGCTCTGGTTCATGTCCTGGCTGTGCCACTTCCTGTCCAGCGCCCTGCTTGTGGCCCAGGAAAGCAGTGGAGGCTGGTTCAAAGCCTTGAGTCCCTGCACTCAGGTAGGAATCCTGGAGAAATTCCTGGCGTGTGGCTTTGGATCAACTCAACTCTGCCTGTTATGGCCTCTTGGGGAGTGAAGCAGTGTATTGGAAATCTTTCTGTCTCTCCTTCTCTCTGTGGGTGTATCTTTCCAACAGAATCAAATAATAAATATTTGGGTTTTTTTTTGTGTGTGTGTGTGTGGCAAGGGCATTTAAAATTCTTGTAGCAAAATGTCTTGAATACGTTGAGTTGAGTTTCATCCTCACACCGTATCTTAGATGTCTGGACTTGTTTGTTCATGTCTGCCACTTGGTTTCTGAGGCCTTCCTCTTCCCATTTTCTCCCCTTTCACTGTAGCCACTGCTTTCTTTTCTGTTTCTGTGTAGTTGACTCTTAACTCCCATAGTTGTATAAGCGAGGTCCTGCAGTATTTTTCTTTTCTTTGTGTCTGGCTCAGCACAGTGTCCTCTGGTTTGATTCATGTGGTGGGAAATGACACGATGTCGTTTTATCAGGCTGATGCTCCATCCCATGTGTGTACAAACGTGAGTACTGTTTACGTAGTGCAGTTTCCTTGTCTGTTCACACACGGATGAGCGTTCGATTGTTCCTGTGTCTTGTCTGCGGGATTTCTTCACTGAAGAGGAGGATGTTTAGGAAGTGTTGGAGGTGGTTCTTTTGGATGCATACCCAGCAGAGAGACTGCTGAGCCATAGGACAGATCTGTTTGACATTTTCTTTGTAAATATCACCCTGTTTGTACGGTGGCTGAGGCAGTCTGCGTTCTTACCAGCAGCACATGGAGATTGCCTTGTCTGTAGCCCTTCAGCGCCATTCGCTGTGTGTTGGGTGATGCCCATTTAGCAGGTGTGAGATCAGGCCTGTGGTTCTGACTTGCTTTTCTCTCGTGACTAGTGACACAGAGCACCTTTCCCAATGCTTGTTATATCTTCTTCGCAGAATGTGTGCATTTTTTTCTGATTTTTTGTTTTTCAGTTGTAACATGAGTTTTTGTCTTAAATGCGTTTTAGATATTAACTCCTTATCAGGTTCACATTTTGCTAATTTTTCCTGAAATCTGTAGACCGCATTTTGATGTATGACTGTTTCCTTTCTTGCATGCAAGCTTTAACAAGTAATTAAAATACTGTGACACCAAAATGAAAAAAGACAGAGCAGTGGAACAAAACAGAAGTCAGTACAAGCGCAGAGTGTGGCTAACTGCTTTTTGACTTGGGAACGAAGAAGACATAGTAGGGAAGGACTGTGTTTCCGGTAAACGGTGCTTGGATGCTTGAATTTCCACATGTAAAATGATGAGATTGTGCCCTTAACTTACACCACATACAAAAACCTACTGGAAATAAACTTAAAAACCATAGAACTAAGTGGAAACATCAGGAGAAAGTCCTTGGCCTTACTAAGCGGGATGACCTCTGGTATGACTTTAATGTGATAGGATTCTCTCAAAGATCTGTGATGCATAGGTGTATTTCCTAGTAGTTTTCAAAGGTAAAATTAGCCAGTGGACTATATGAAGATATTTTACAGTTGCGGCGTAAAACAAGTAAGAATCCCATGTAGAGCATTGCAAAATCTGTTTGCATAAAATCTAATATAAACACATTCCAGTTGGGTGGTTCCTAAAGCCTGTCTGACCTGCAGAGAATGCATCATCATCCCGAGGCATTACCTCATTTACAGCTTGAACTGGACCAGTCTCAGAGTAGCAGCTGCAGTTCTGCAGTGCGCGACCTGCGACTTAAGTTCTGTGTACAACACTCCCAATAAGTAATGGGGGGAAGCGCTCTAGCAGGAGATTGTTACCCTGCAGTATAAAAAGAGGTGGCATAGTATCTAGTTTGCTTCTAATATTTGAACTTTAACCATGTAAGATAAATTGAATTAATGTTGTATAGTACCAGGTGACTTACAGGTCTCTTTTGAAGCTGAGAATTTTGATTTTGTCTTTCCGTGTAAGTCATTGTTTTGCGTAACAAAAATTAATGAACCATTACATGGCAGTTTAAATCATGTAATATTCATTTCTGTGTACTTGTGCTTGCTCTTTTTTTGTGTGTGTGTCCAAGTTAAAATAATCATTTCTTGTTGGCGATGGCCTAAAAGTTCAGAAAGAGTTTAAGATCTTTTTCTTATTGTTTCTTACAGAGGTTCCAGAAACTTCAGCAGTTGCAGTGCTGAGGACTTTGAGAAGTTAACTCTGAATAAAGGAGGAAATTGCCTTCTCAATGTTCCAAAGCCTGATGAAGCGTACAGCGCTCCCTCCTGTGGTAATAAATTGGTGGACCCCGGCGAAGAGTGTGACTGTGGCACTCCAAAGGTTGGTGCAACTGTTTAGCTTTGCTTTGTAAAGTTACCATGAGATATGCAGAAAGCAAAATGTTTTATGAGCAACGCTAGCTGAGGGGCTGAAGTAAGTTATTGCCAAAATGAAGATTATTGTTTTGTTCAGGTAGATGTTCAGTTGGGACTGGTGAGCACTTGTGATATAACTCATTCTGTCTGTTTTATAGTCAAAGGATGTATTTTGACCTACTTTTTCTTTTTGGCTCTTTTCTACCTTTTCTGTAACAGTTGTTGGCTTATGTATTTATGTTAAATAACCTGTCTTTCACATGGCTTTGTACTTAGAATTTTTCAGTATTCTGGCATTGCATTGCAGGAATATCTATTTTAGTTGGCTGGATTCATTTTAAAAATAAACTGAAGTGGGGCCAATGTGATGGCTCAACTGGCTAATCCTCTACTTGCAAACCGTAGTATCCTATATGGGTATTGGTTAGTGTCCTGGCTGTTCCACTTCTGATCCAGCTTCCTGCTTTTATTGCCTGGGAAAGCAATGGAGGATGGTGCAAAGCGTTGGGATCCCGCACTGGCTTGGGAGACTCAGAGGAAACTCCTGGTTTCAGATCAGATCAGCTCCCAACATTGTGGCCATTTAGGGATGTTAAAACCAGTGGGTGGAAGATCTTCCTCTCTCTGTCTTCTTTGCTCTGTAATCTATCTTTCCAATAAAAATAAAATAAATCTAAAACAACAAAAACCCGAAGCTGACCTACGTGTCCTCTGGAGTCCTTCAGAATCAGAACACTTGCTCTTCATAGTAGCCTTCTGCCTTCATTAACCTCCTGCTCCCTGGCACAGGGAGCCACACCGGTTGTCATCCTGAGCTGTACTCTTCTCAGAGTGGCCTAGGAAAGTCCTTTCCTCCTAGGCCTTGTGTTCAGTTTTAAGACAGCTTGTTGATTGTGGGTAAGTCTTGCAGCAATCTCAGCCTTTTCAAAAGTGTGTCAAAGTACAGTTGTTTTTATTGCTATGTAATTTTGTTGTGTCTTGTGACCGTTTTGGCTTAGCCTGTTTTCTCTGCTACAACCATCCTTGTTCTCTGTCGTTACCATTTGCATGGGGTATCTTTTTTTCTATCCTTTACTTTCAGCCCATGTATGTCCTTGAACCATAGCAAGTCTCCTATAGACCATGTATAGTAAATGAACAAAGAATATTCAGTTATGTTGCTTGCTTTTGTTTTTCTGTGGAAGACCTAGCTCTCCTCTTTCTGAAGAATAGTTTTGCTGTGATATTCTCAGCTTCAGTTATTTATTTGAACGTATCTTTGAATGTGTCTTTCCACCAAGATTTTTGCTGGTAATAAACAAACCTGCTAGTCCGATAAATGCCAAGTTGCTCTTGTATGTTCTCTGGCTGCTTTCAGTGTTTTGTGTTTTAACATGATTGCTCTTGATCTTTCTGATTCATCTGATTTGAAGTTTCTTGGGCTCCCTGGATTGGACATTCATTTCCTTTCCCAGATTGGGAAATTTTCAAACCGTTGTTTCTCAAAGGTATCCTTTGCAATTTTCTCTGTATCTATTCACCCTGGACTGCTATATAGCATGTTCTACCACCTGCTTGCTGGTGGGCCTTGAGTCTCTGGAACATTTTTAGTATGTTTTTCTTCTTATTCTTTTTCATTGCTCATTGCTTGGTCTTTTGCTTTCTCTTGCTCTTGTTGTTGTTTTAAAATTTTGAATTATCTCATTTATGTAAGGTGAATACGTTTTAGGTTGTGTAGACTCCCTGGGGCCCATTAACGTTCCCCAAGCGAGATGACAGGAGCAACTGAGGAAGGTTGGCACATTTACCATGTGGTCTCCTAGAGATTGGCCGCGAACCAGGCTTTCTCGCTCTTTGTTTAGCACGGCTGACCAGCTTTTGCAAATGTCTGGATGGTAGTTGAAACCACCTTAGTTCTAGGTAGCTCTTGGATCCTAGTGCATGCCAGCCCCGTCAGCAGCTGAACAGGAAAGAGAAAGGCTATTTGTTTGGGTGTCACTTCAGAAAATGTTGGTTTTGGACATGTGTCCTTTTTTCAGGAGAAGGACCTGGGTTTGTCACATTTTATGTCTGCTTACTTTGGTGAACCAGAGTGAGGAACTGCGGCAGGTGTCTGCCTCCGGGTTTAACTCACTGTGTTTTTTAACCCTGTGTCTCCTGAGGGTATAATGCATGCCACGTCCTGTAAGTGCTCAGAGGCAGGTGAAGTGGGAACTGGTTCCCCCGGTAGCATCCTGCAAAGGTGTGATGTCACATACGTGGCCCAACTCTGACTGCCAGAGAGTTTCTGAGAGCTGAGGGTCTCCTCCTCATTGTGTCTGTGCTGCGCCCAGAGTATGGCCGGTGTCTCCAATTGCTCTGGTTTGACGAGCTTGATTTTACAGTTGCCCGAATTTGGTAGGCTCCCAACTAGTTTTTTGCGTTCTCACCTAAGGAATTGATCAGTATGTTGCTGTTGGCTAGATGCCACTGTGTGTGTGTGTGTGTGTGTGTGTGTGTGTGTACGTATGCGTGCACACGCGTGGCAGAAGAACCCAGGACTCCCTATTTGCCCATGGACACTTTCACACTGCTTTCTAAAGTGGTCATACCATCCCTCCTTTCCATTGTCAGTGTGTGAAGATTCTGCTTTCTCACTCATGCCTCATACAGGCAGTCTTAATTTTAATCATTCTGTTAGGTGCGGTTGGATGCTTCATTGGCGTTTTAACCTGTGTTTTCTTAATGATGATGTGTTTGTATGTTGCTTTACCATTGGTGCGTGTTGTGGTGATGTGTTTCTGTAACTCCTTCATTTAAAAAAGTTTAATAATTTGCTATTACTGAGTTTTGAGAATATTTTGCATATTGTAGAAAGTCCTTTATAAGATTAGAGGATTTGGGCCCGGCGCGGTGGCGCAAGTGGTTAAGGTCCTCACCTTGAACGCCCGGGATCCCATATGGGCGCCGGTTCTATCCCCGCAGCCCCACTTCCCTTCCAGCTCTCTGCCTGTGGCCCGGGAAAGCAGTCGAGGACAGCCCAAAGCTTTGGGACCCTGCACCCGCCTGGGAGACCCGGAAGAGGCTCCTGGCTTCGGACCAGCATAGCACTGGCCATTGTGCTCACTTGGGGAGTGAATCACCGGACGGAAGATCTTCCTCTCTGTCTCTCCTCTCTGTATATCTGCCTTTCCAATAAAAAAATAATAAAAATAAATCTTTAAAAAAAAAAGAGGATTTGTAATTATTTTTCCCTAATTTTGGCTTGTTAGTTAGTATTAACAGTATCTTTTTGAAATGGACATCTTTGATATTTTGATGAAATCCGTTTTATCAGTTTGTGTGTTTTCTAGGTTGAGCTTTTTATGTTGTATCCGAGAATTTTTTTTACCTGGTTCAAAAATGCAAATATGTTAGTTTCTGTACATGACCCATTTTGAGTTTTTTTGGATATATGTTGCAAGGTGTGGTGTATAGTTCACTAGTTTTTAAGTTTTATTATAAAAAAAATTGTAAGCTGGCAGGAAGTATAAAAACGCCCCAGCGTCCGTGCACTTTTCAGCCAGTTTCTGTGAATGATGATGTCTTACAATGCTGTGCCCAGTGTGAAAAACAGGTCATTGATACTGCTGTGTTAACACAGGTGACCCACTGTTTTGTTGGCAACGCCCGCGTCGCCACGTACCCCGAGCCCTGAGTCGAGCGGAGGGACTAGGGTTATGAGACAGACAAGACAGACAACACACAACACACAGTGGGTCATTCGTGTGAGGAGAATGCCGTTTATTTGAAGTCAAGCTGCATCTTTTATAGTCTGCTTGGCCCCTCCCAGGATCCTCCCAATGGTTAAGCCACACCTAAGCTCCCCCAAGGACATGCAACAAGGGGAAGCAGGAAGGAAGGAGATTGCAGTCAAGCCACAGGCTAAATGTATCAGGCCATGATTGCCCCTCCCGTTACACCTTTGAGAAACAAGCTGTGCTGTGGAGTTAATCCTTGGGAGACTGGGGCCTACACTGTTTCTGGTTGGTAGGAGTAAGGGGGAGCAATAGTGACTTAAGGTGTTATGGGAGAAGTCAGGAAAGATGGTCATGGGCTCAGTGTTTTGATTTATTGGGTTAAGCTGCCGCCTGTGATTCTAGCATCCCCTGTGGGCACTGATTTGAATCTTGGCTGTTCTACTTGCAGTCCAGTTCTTTGCTGATGTGCCTGGAAAGGGGTCGAGGATAGTCCTAGAACCTGCCTCCTGCCATCTCTGTGAGAGGCCTGGATGGAATTTCTGCTTATTTGTATTGTCCTGTTCCAGCCACAGTCTTGGAACCACTTGGCAAGTGAATAGAAGATAGACAGTGTCTGTTTCTTTCTGCCACTGTGCCTTTCAAATAAATGACTTAAAACATAAATATTTTTCCAAAAGTCAGATCCTGGGCCTGGTATTGTGGCATAGCTGATAAAGCTGCTGTCTGGAAGGCTGGCATCCCATATTGGCGTCGCTTTGTGTCCTGGCTGGTGTTGGTTTGTGCCCTGGGTGATCTGCTTCTATCCAGCTTCTTGCTGATGGCCTGGGAAAGCAGCAGAAGATGGCGCGAGTACTTACATGGGAGCCCCAAAAGAAGTTCCGGGCTCCTGGCTTCAGTCGGGCTCAGCCCCGGACATTGTGGTTCTCTGTGGAATGAACCAGCAGATGGAAGATCTCTCTCTTTCTCTCCTTTCCTTTTTCTGTAACTCTTCCTTTAAAAATGGATAAACCTTAAAAAAATTATTTACTTATTGAAAGTCAGAAGTACAGACAGGGGTAGTCCATCCACCGGTTCCCTCTAGGTGTAACTGCTATGGTTGGGTTAGAATGGTGGAAATTTTAGTGGAATGGACACTGTGACATAGCTTGCTGGGCCGGTGCTTGGAATGCCCAAGTACTAATTTGAGCCCTGGCTGCTCTGTTTACACCCTGGCTCCTTGCTAAGGAATCTGGGAAGCGGCAGCAGCAGGTGGCCCAAGTCCTTGGGTCCCTGCCACCCGGATGGAAAACCCAGATGGTGTTCTTGCCTCCTGGTCCAGACCTGGCACTGGTAGGCTTTTGGGAAGTGAGCCAGTAGATGGAAGACTGATTTCTCTTTCTTTTCTTTCCCTTTTTATTGGAAAGTCAGATATACAGAGAGGAGGAAAGACAGAGAGGAAGATCTTCCACCCGATGATTCACTCCCCAAGTGACCATAACAGCTGGTGCTGTGCCAATCTGAAGCCAGGATCCAGGAGCTCTTCTGGATCTCCCACTCAGGTGCAGGGTCCCAAGCCCTCGGGCCATCCTCAGCTGCTTTCCCAGGCCACAAGCAGGGAACTGGATGGGAAGTGGAGCAGCCGGGATTAGAACCGGTGCCCATATGGGATCCTGGTGTGTTCAAGGTGAGGACTTTAGCTGCTAGGTCACGGCGCCGGACCCTTCCTTTCCCTCTCTTTCTTTCTCTCCATTGCCCTGCCATTCAAATAATCCGTAAAACTAATATAGTAAAGGATAGGAAGGCAGATAATTGATTTCACTCTTGACAGTTCCTTTGTATTCACAGGAATGTGAATTGGACCCTTGTTGTGAAGGAAGTACTTGTAAGCTTAAATCATTTGCTGAATGTGCATATGGTGACTGTTGCAAAACCTGTAAGGTGAGTCATTCCTTTGTGTTAAGAACAAATAAATAGAAAATTCAGTGTATATCAAAATGTATTTTCTAAGATTCCTGGCATTAGCAGTACTTTTATGTATTATTATAGGAAAAAGTTTTATGTTGATTCTTTGCAGTTTAGTTGCATTCTTGTGTGATAAAAGGTCTATAATGATTATTTTTGGTAAGTTGAAACTTGTTTTCTGATTTTTAAAAATAATGCATATTTTAAAAAAATTAACAGTGCCAAAGTTGAAGGTAGAATAGAAGGCAGATGATAAAAAAGACCCTCTATCATTTTACCCTACTCTGAGGCCTTCGTTGATTAGGTACTCTTTCTTTATCAATGTGAGTGTGTGTATATTTGTAGGTATGTAGAAAAATGAAGATATATACTAATAAGATACTACAGATTTTTTTTTAAAGAAAAAATTCACGTAGTCTTAATCGGTTATTTGTTAGTGTACTTTTGTATATTTGCGCCGTAATTTCTTTGGTCAACTAATGATGGACATTTGGATTGTTTATTATTGGTTATAAGAGAAATTCATTTTCGGAATATTCATATTAAAATTTTTGCTATGTATTTTATATATTTGCAACAAATGTGCTGGTCTTCTAGCAATAGTGGCATCAAATACTTGTTTCCTTATGCCAGAACTGGTTACTATCAAGTACCATAGTCATAGTTAATTCAGTAAATGTCGAATATCCATGTATGTTTGCTTTTACTTACATTTAAAAAATTTTTTTGTTTTTTACTTTCATGTTTATTTGGGGTTGTGTTTTTCATGTTTCATATTTATGATTTCTTTGAATTCCCTATAATTGACATTTGTTCATTTTTCTTTTGAGTTTTTTATTTCTTATGGTTAGATGCTGAAGTCCAGCTCCAGCCGAGTTCGGAACTTGAGAAGGGTGTGTGGAATAGGCATAGAGAGAAAAGAAACGGACCACTATGATTTCAGGATCGTAATGGACAATACAAGAAAGCTGTCCGCTTTATTTATACAGCAGCCGTCACAAAGGCTGGCACAGACTTTTCACACCTGGTCAAGCGGGCATGCCTAAGGATAGTTCTGCCAATTGTTTCCCCTTGAGGCAGGATATCCGCCATCCTGATCCTGAGGTCACGAAGTTCTCAATAGAGGGCACGTGTCAATCAGTAACACATTCCTACTACAATCCTCATTCTACAGTTAAGTGAGGAAGTGCATCATAGAAGGAGGGACCTAAAGTTCAAGGAGAGAGGGAAAGAGTAGATTCCCACTGCACCTAGGCACTTACCACCCTTGATTAGCATATGGTCAGTGGGGGAGGAAAACCCTAAGCATTGGTCCCTGCTACACCCTTGATTAACACATGATCAATGATGGCAGCTGAGACAGCATGAATGTAAAAGGCCCTTTTGCTACATCAGCAACATCAACTTCCAAGCTCACGTTGGTAGTAAAGACCAACTCCGCAGTGGCAGACAATGGCTAAATGGGTTACAGAAATCTCAGTGGGGTTGGCCGGTGTCCATCCAAAGGGAGGTGGAAAGACATCAGGGGGTGCAGGCACATCCCGCAGGCCTTGCCATGCAGCGGGAAATTCCTTGCGGCCTTGCCTGCAGTGGGACAGTTCTGTTCACACCTTCATGTCCTCCACACCCACCGCACGGACCCCAACAGTTGGAAGCTTTTTAGATATAACTATTCTGGTTCCAGTTTTGACTAATAGTTGGAAATTGTCCTGTTATTCATGTCTAACTGAAATCTTACCATCTTAGTTCCTTCCAGGAGGTTCTTTATGTCGAGGAAAAACCAGTGAATGTGATGTCCCGGAGTACTGCAATGGTTCTTCGCAGTTCTGCCAGCCCGATGTCTTTATTCAGAACGGACATCCTTGCCAGGACAACAAAGCCTACTGCTACAACGGCATGTGCCAGAATTACGATGCTCAGTGTCAAGTCATCTTTGGTTCAAGTAAGTCATTATTTATAGCTAATCTGTCTTCTTTACAGAAGGAAATCAAGCATTATTGATCAAGTTGAATGGTATTGTTTCCTTTTCTTCTGTCTTTTTTCCCTTCCTTCTCCAGAGGCAGTCATGGTCATAAAGTTTACTGTATGCAAACTCAGTTGGTGTTTTTTTGCTTTTCTCATCTCTTTCTCTCTCTTCCTTTATCCTTCATGTATAAAACCTACCCTTCCATACACAGGTGCACACATGCACATGCAGTGTCACTTTCTTGCCTTCATAATATGATGTTGTACGCATGAGTTTGGTGTTGGTCACTCAGAATGTTCTTGAGGTCCATTTATATTCATATGTAAATAGTACATTAGATTATTCTACTATAAAAGTGGATGGTGGTTTAGTTACCCATTCTCTTAGTAGTAGATATTTAGTATGTTTTGGATTTTTCCCCTGTTTTTTCCTTCCTTCAAAATTCTTCATGTTATCGAAGGTGCACATCTACAAAGACCTAAATTATCGTCTAAAGTGTACTATGAAAAAAATAAGTACCATTGACAATATCTCTGTTCTTTGAGGCAGCCTTTTTTAGCTAATAACTTTTGATACTTGCTTTAGACTTTAGGTATCTTTTGATAATGCTGCTTTTGGTTTTTCCATTCTAGGCATTAACTGTTAATTTATCATTGTGAACTGCAGTTTTACCTTGTGGGTTTCTGGGGAGGAAATGCGACTGAAAAGAAATGGGGGGGACAGTGCTCTCTTGGGCACCTGACAAAGTTTAGTAAAACGATAGTTCAAACACAACTCAGGATTTGGTCATATCTGGGAGCAGGGAGTTCAAGGAGGCTGACAAGGCACCTTGGTCAGAGCACTGTTGAAATGGGGACTAGATAAGGAGTGCCGTCTGTCCTTGGGTGACTAGACGGAGCACAGATGTTCGTCTATCCTCAAGGAGAGCATGGAAGCACATCCAGGGACTCAGTGGGGACAGGAGTGCACTGTCGGGGAGAGGCCCTCTGCCTCCTCTCTCCTGGAGCCTCTTCTCAACAGGATCCCACAGGCCCCCGCTGTCCTAGCTGTCCTGTTGGATGTATTTTAACAGTGCAGGAAAAGGATTAATTTTCTTTCTTCTTGTTCTCTTAATCCTTGACAGTTCTCTTATATCTGTATTCGTTTTCTGTTCTTCATTCTTCCAGTGTGAGTTCAGTGTGGTTTTAGTTGCAGCCTTGTTGGCTTTTTTTTTTTTGCTAGAGTTAATGATTCTTGATCCTTACTTCTTCCCCTGATGGTTGGTGCTCTTATGTTTCTGCTTACCTTTATCTGAATGATAAATTTTTAATCAGTGGCCTGACATAGGAATTCTATTAATTTCAATGTGTGTGTTTTTTTTTTTAAAGATTTATTTATTTATTGGAAAGTCAGATATATAGAGAGGAGGAGAGATAAAGAGGAAGATCTTCTGTCCGATGATTCACTCCCCAGGTGAACGCAACGACCAATGCTATGCTGATCCGAAGCCAGGATCCAGGAACTTCCAGGTCTCCCACGTGGGTGCAGGGTCCCAAGGCTTTGGGCCATCGTTGACTGCTTTCCCAGGCCACAAGCAGGGAGCTGGATGGGAAGTGGAGCTGCTGGGATTAGAACTGGCGCCCATATGGGATCCCGGGGTGTTCAAGGCAAGGACTTTGGCCACTAGGCCATACTGCTGGTCCCAACTTCAATGTGTTTTTAAGAAGTCTGACACTTGATTTAGTTTTGAGTGGCTTCCCCCTGCATTAGCCAAATTTTTGTATTGAAATAAAATCAGTAGGGAATGTGTGTGTGTGTGTGTGTGTGTGTGTGTGTGTGTGTGTGTGTGTGTCTATGCAATCCACCCTGTGTATCCATGAGTTCACATTATAGATTCAACCAAACTTGTTTCAAAATATTAAGAAAATTCTGTCTGTATTGAACATGTGGAAATCTGTTATTATTCCCCAAATAATAACTACAGTATATTTGTTCAGCTTTTAGGTTATACCAGGTATTACAAGTAATCTAGAGGTAATTTAAAGTATACAGAAGGATGTATGCAGGCTGTATGCAAATACCCTGGTATTTTACAGAAGACTTAAGCTTCCTTTGGCTTTGTTATCTGTGACCAAGCCTGCACAGGTACCAAGATGCCCTGCTCAGTGTGCTCCGTGACCCAGTGCCAGGGAAGACCCGTTGCTTAAAAGGAGGGGAGTCACCCACAGAGATGGCAGGGTCTGCTTCAAATTCCTAAAGGGCTGTACTAGGCTCACCCATAGGTGGCCGCCAAAAGCCCCGGGTGATGTTCATGTTGCTTGGAGTTAAGCACCGTTTGATCTGCTGAGTCACTGGCCTGAGTGGCAGATCGGCTTGCACAATGTCCTAGATGCATTACACAGCCTCCTTTTGTCCTGGGCTCTCCTCCAGACTAGCAGTTTTTTGCATCCGTGAGTGACTGGGCCAGAATAGCACAACCAAATGAGGACTTTACTGCCATTGAAATCCAACTGACCACAAGTTATCGCCTGAAGTCTTGGTTGTGGTATTGACCAGACAACACTAGACAGCACTATTTTATCATTGCTCCAGGAAGAAGTACACTGGCCTGTCTTATGCCTTTAGACTAGAAATTCCACTGGGGAAGAAGGCCTTTGAATTTTTGTTAACCTTATTTACTGCTTGCTGTCTTGCAGATGTTTTCCCAATGTTGGAGTGGTTGCCCCTTCTTGCTTACTTCATTCCATGAGTATCATGGTATAGTGTGAAAGGGAGAGGCAGTCACAATCTCAAACTAAACTATGACTAAAGACTGGAGAATTGATGGATCCCTGATGCTGTGTCAGTTTAGATGTTGGCATTGCCAGCTGGAAAAAGTAGCCTGTGTCTGACACTTTGTGGATGGATATGGGGAGAGAGGCAATTGGTATATTTTAGTTGCACTCCAGGCATCAGGGGGTTATGCACTGTGACAAATGTGGAACCTGTGCATAGTGAGGTAGCTGTAATTGTTAAGTGTATGATTATCAACTGCCATAATCCAAGATTCCACTGTTTTTTGTACAGATGAAGATGAGTGCGATGACTGTGGTAAGAACCACCTTCCATGGATCTTTCAGGTCCTTAGTAGTGATCTTAGTCTCTGCAGTCCCTCTAGGGATGCAGCAGTCCAGCAGTCTTTGGTTTACTGTTTTCTGGTAGAGGCCGTTCTGGTGCCTTCTGTGTGGTCTTTCGTGTGTGTGTGTGTGTGTGTGTGTGAGAGAGAGAGAGAGACAATCTTTACGTAGTTAATTAAGGCACAAAGATTTGAGGGCTACTGGAAAGCGGGTAAGACTATTATTTTCACATTCTCTTTTTCTGTATCTGGGGTAAAGAGGGAGATAAAGAGAGAAGCCCACTCGGTCTCCCACCCATCCCAGGTCCCTGATGTGGGGCATGCTCTGAGGGCTTGCTCAAGTATTTTTGATAGTTCAACAGTTCTGAATTGCTGGCAATCTCGCCATTCCAAGCGTGATGAAGTTGCTGCAGAATCCACTGATTGACATAGTCCACCTTAGAGTCTCCGTTTGCCCAGTCTTTCACTGCCAACAAATGGCTGGGGTAGTTGATTGATTTGTTCTGTCCTCTGTTGTGGTGCCAGGTGTCCTCTGCAGGTTCCGATAGACTGCCATATCATCCGTGTGCACCTGGCACTAAGTGTGCTGTCCACTGCTCCGTCTGAGCTTCTGAGGAGGCTCGGCTCTGGCTTCTGTGTGGTCTTTAGACCAAATTAATCTCCAGTCTTCAGATCAGGGAAACCATGTGGAAACTTTACCAGCTACTCACTGTGTGTCCTCCAGTGTTCCATTCTGCATCCGTGGAAAAATCCACAAGATGAGTTTGGGACCTACTGGGATTACTATGGTATAGACGTGAACTAAAATTCTGCTGCTCATGTAACTACCTTTAGTTCCCACCCTGGCTGGTAGATCGTACGGACATTTTGAGCCTGCTGTAAGTAGTTTCAATTAAGATACAGTGTCTGTATTTCCTGACATTCTATTTCTCTTGTCCTGATGCACAATGCCTTAGTCTTAAGTTCATTTTGTGCAGCATCACGACAGACCATCTGCTGATTAATTGATAATGGAGAGAAATTTATTGACTCAGTTCTGAAGACTGGACACTGCCAATTTGCTGTGTCATTGAGACTTGGACTTCCTTGCAGTGGAATTTGACAGGAGGCCAACATACAACCCAGGCAAGAATTATTGGGCGTTTGTGCTCAAAAATAAGGGAGATAGCACTTCAGGAAGTAGTTCCGCCCATTGGCTCTCGGATAGGAGCTGAATAGGGGCTGTTATGTTGGGGATGTGTAGCTACACTGTACGGATCTCTTTTCTTGGCACTGGCACTTCAGTTTGCACCCCAGCTTGACGTTTTATCCAGGAGCAGTTGCTTTTTTAGGACATACTACTGCCTCCCCAGTAGGGTGACATATGGGTTATACTGAGCTATTCTAGGGGGACATGCAGTTCAGAGAAATCTCTTCCAGGCCAGTTGAGGTCTTTTTTCATTAGGGTTTGAATGTTTCTTACTCCCAGTTGGCTTAGTGCTGGAAATGAATCCATAGATAGGTCAGGAGATGGTACGTGAATATTCATAGTACATTTCAGGTCAGAAGAGATTTGATTTAACCAGTCCTTCTGTTCTGTCTCATTATGGCATGGCAGAGGATGGGAAGCAGAAGGGCAGGAGACAAAAGGAGACTTAGTAAGTGTTTCTCTTCTTACTACTGCTACTGTGTCAGCTGAATCTGAACACAGTTTTTAGGGGAGAGAGCATAGATGGTGTGACCGGAGCAATAGGCATTTTTCCCCTCACAGTTCTGGATGTAACAAAGCCCAAGTGAAAGATGGCAACCAATGTGACGTCTGCTGTGGTCTCTTCTGCTGCCTTCTAGATGGTTGCTCTTGTGTCTTCCGGAAGTGGTAAGAGAAAGGAGATCATCCCCTCTTCTCAAAAGGCCACTCATTGTGTCATGAAGTTCCACCCTGTGACCTTTGATTTACCCATTGTAAGACCTGTCTCCATGTAGCATCACACTGGACATTAAGGCTTCAGCATGTGAATTATTGGCTACGCAGATATGCAGTACCCGGTGAAAGATCACTTAAAAGTGGCTTGGATAATGCTTCACAGTATTTGGGTGCAGGGGATGTTCATAAGGGAACCAGGTCTGTGTTCATTCAAGAGTGTCTGTCAACTGACTCAAGGAGTTGACCGAGAGGTTGTGGGTCTCTGATTTCATGATTCAAGTTAATCTTCTGCTCATTTGATGAACTCATACATACCAAATAGGAATCACTTGTAGACATAAAGCAGTGTTGTCAGCTAGCATCAATGAACTTTTCAAGGATGTTGTGGCTCCTCCTCAAATTCATTTCTTATAGTCCTGGTGAAAGGTGTGTATCTTTTGGAATATCCCAGGGAGGCATGAGGTTGTCTAAATGCCATCCGTGCTCTGAGTAGCATTTCAATCTCCTTAACCCTTTGAATATCTTTATATAAACCGTGATGTTTGCTACATGTACACTATAAGCTGCTTTTGTTCCATGTTTCAACAACCAACCAACCAACCAACCAACCAGCCAGCCAACCAACCAACCAACCAACCAACCAGCCAAACCAACCAACCAACCAACCAACCAACCAACCAACCAACCAGCTGTGTAGCTTTTCTTTTTGTGGTTTCCTTAGGGTGAATTAGAGGTGAATCGTTTGAGATCCTGGAAGTGTGAAAATGTTTTTATTTTTATAAATCGAATGCATACTTTTGCTAAATATTTTGACAGTAGAAGAAATAGTTTTCCTTCACAATTTTGAAGCCGTTGCTTTGATATTTTCTAGTTCACAGAGTTGCTGTGAAGCCTGAAGCTGCTCTGATTCTCTTTTTTTAAAGGCTTTATTTATTTATGAAAGGCAGAGTGACAGAGGTCGGGGAGAGAGAGAGAGAGAGAGATGGTTGCAGTGGCAGGGGCTGGTCCATTCTGAAGCCCAGGACTCCGCCTGGGCCTCCCACTGGTTCTTGGACATTTTCTGTGCTTTCCCAGGCACATGAGTAGGGAACTGAGAAGTGGAGTGGCTGGGCCTTGAGCCTGGGCTTCTGTCTTGGGATGCCAGGGTTACAGATGGCAGCTTCACCAGCTGCGGCGTGGCTCTGACCCCTCTGAGTTGTCACATGTGCCCTTTTCTCGTTGCTCTGGGAAAGCTTAGGGACCATGAGGGTGATTCACCCCGATGTGGCTCTGTTTCTGTTCTTCCTGCGAAGCACTTGGTCGGTGCACTCGCTGTAGAAACTTACTGCTTTTAGTGTTGGAACTGTTTTTGCTTTTAGGGTCTTTTAAAGTTTATCCTTAATTAACTAATTATTTTGTGTTCTTGGTCTTTTCAAGTTTTTTTTTTTCCCATTTTCCATGAACTTCTTTTTTTAGCTTTAAAATTTATTTTATTTAAAAAATTATTACATGGTTTATTAGGATGGAAAAGATCAAGATTTAGGGAAAAGTGGGTGAATTTGTTGCTTCCAAATTTGCCATTTCTTGTTGTTCCTGGGGGAAGAGGAGATACAAAGAGGAAAACCACTCATGAGTTTCTACACTTCCCAGTACCCAGGAAGAAGGAACCAAATGTAAGGGAAAGAAGTGTGACTATTCTGAAAGTACTATATATTCTGGTGCTTTTAAATTTAATTATGAATTCTTGTTTAATGACCTTTTTGTAAAGTCTTGGTTATTTGAGTCCAGCCTAATTTTTAAGTATACCCCAAGCTTTATTTTGCATTTGTTATGTATAAAAAACAGTGAAGTGTTCTGTATGTAAGACCTTAAGTTTGTCAGATGTATTGGGGAGGTTGGTCCAGTAGTGTGAACTGATACAGGGAATGCTTGTACATCTGAGTTAAATTGCCATAACTTTTTTCCTTTTTGAAATGTTTCATGTTTCAGAAGCCAAAGCTGCCCCAAGAGATTGTTTCATTGAAGTGAATTCTAAAGGTGACAGATTTGGCAATTGTGGTTTCTCTGGCAATGAATACAAGAAGTGTGCTACCGGGTAAGTGGCGGTGAGCTCCAAGGAGAATATACAGGACTGTGAGACAGGTCAGCCCTCATATGTCTTACGACTGCTGTGCTTCTTCCCTTTTAATACATGAACTTTTCGAAGACCTCAGATTCTGGTGTTAGGAACAAAACTGGTACAATCATTAATCCCTTTAGTTACCTATTGTCTCAAAACATTTATCCTTGGCCTAACAGGAACTGCAACTAAATACCCCTTCTCTTTGCCCTTCAATAGAAGATATTACTAAATGCTTGTAGAAGACAGAAAAAGACCTGCCAGCAGCATGTTCAAAATTTAAGTAGGATTTTAGTTTGTGGTAGATATAAGCATCTCAATAATGTAATAAAGTTGCTCTAAACGCTACTAGAATAGTGGGCTTGATAGAAGTGCAGTGTGTCTGATTCGGTCAGTGAGAGCTCGCGTTTTTCTTTGTTATGCTGTAATTAAGATTTTTTTCTTTTGTTCTTTTTTTTAAAAGTCAGCATTCTATTGTCAAGATATATGTAATTAAGATTTCACTCTCCATTTGGAGCACTGTGTTCCAGAGGCAGTGAGACAAACGGGACGTGTTCTGAATGGGCCTTCCTTGTAGCATGAAAAATAGTTGTAGGATTTTGTCTTATCGAAGTAAATAGTTAGCAACTATTTAAAAATTGTTCAGAAATATGTGTTTTAACATGTGAAAAGAAAAAAAGGCATTTTTTTTTCCCCTGGGTATTTTTGGAGAAAATCTGGAACCAATAAGGAAAAATTCCAAGGAGATGAATTTTAACTGAGGAAATCAAAGGCTGTTAAGACGTGGAAGTTTTTGGAGGTCACGAGTTAGGTATATTGGGGGAAAGGTCCGGTGATGACTTGGTAGTAATCGAGAAGAGATCCGTGGTAGAGTTGGGTGGTTGTCCCCGTTGACAGTCTGTTACGAGGGAAATCTCAGTACTGCATCATGGGAATTGACATAAGAAGTATGTAAGCGTGGAGCTGACGTCATGGCTCGGCAGGCTAATCCTACACGCTGTGGTGCCAGCATCCCATATGGGCCCCAGTTCATGTTCCAGCTGCTCCATTCCCCACCCAACTTATGGCCAGAAAAAGCAGCAGAGGATGGCCCAAAGCCTTGGGACCCTGCACCCATGGGAGAGACCCGCAAGAGGTCTCTTAGAGCTTCTGATCAGTTCAACTCTGAACATTGCAGCCACTTGGAGAGTGAACCTATGGATAGAAGATCTTTCTCTCATTCTCTCCTTATCTGTAAATCTGCCTATTAAATAAAAAGTAAATCTTAAAAAAGATTCTGTACAATATAGGACAGGACTGTCACACACACAGCTCTGCAGTCAGGGAGAACTCCATACACTCAACGCTGGATTAGTTCATGAATGAATGAAGTGACTGCATGACTAAGGACCAGGCAGAAGAGGTTGGGTCACATCACAGCACCCAGTGTTTCTCCTTCCCAGATAGTGAGAAGACACGAGCGCTCGGGGACAGTGCAGGCCTTCAGGTGGGACAAGGAGGAGGATGACCGTCCCCTGCGACTCGCACCATTCCCGTATTTGCAGCTGCCTACCATCCTTCCTTCTCTGCCATACTTAAGGAGAGCCGCTTTGATCTCCGTCGCTGTTACACAGCAGCATTTTTCCCCCCTGCTGGGATTCCTTTCCGCTGAATCGTAATGGGCCTTATCTGTGATCTGTGTACAGGCATGTCATTTGCCTGTGTTAATGCCCTGATTTTTGTGTTTACATGATTTCCCTCCAGGAATGCTCTGTGCGGGAAGCTTCAGTGTGAGAATGTTCAGCACATGCCGGTATTTGGAATCGTGCCTGCTATTATTCAGACACCCAGCCGGGGCACCAAATGTTGGGGTGTAGATTTCCAGCTGGGATCGGATGTTCCAGATCCTGGGATGGTTAACGAAGGCACAAAATGTGGTGTTGGAAAGGTAATCAAAATGTTTTCTGCTTACAAAAGGAAAGTGAAAGAAAATTGAAAAATTGCTACATAAAGAGAGGTGGTTACTATTGTCATTATGAAATAACATTTGTATTTATTGTAGCATTAGAAAAATCCAGAGCCACAAAGAAGAAAATAAGGAAGGACCCTAGTGTCACCATCCAGGGTCTTGCTGTATTTTGTTAGTGTCTTTGCTGCTGTGGGGACATTTTGGTGGTCTCCAGGAGCTGGGGTGTGCCTGTGTGTTAGAAATGTCAGTGGCAGTCCTGTGCTCCTCAGTGCGCACCCCTCACCCCAGCAGTTGGGGTCAGATATGTGCCAGAGCTAGCCAGCCCTGGACTTAACTATCACTGGTTCCATGTAGCTGACCTGTGATAAATACCCCATTTTAGGGGACTGTCCAGTTAAGAAAGATAGTGAAGAGCGAGGACAGAATCTAGCTGGGCTAGGAGGAGTGTGACAAGCTTAAGCGATGTGGAGTTAGGATGGAACAGGGCTGTAGATCACTTTGAAGAAGCCAACCTGGATGGAGGAGTACAGAGAAGCGGGGAATGTGATTGGCCGATGACGTACCCAATGAAAACGATGAATGAGTGGACCGTGAGGTTACTTGCATTGGTTTACGTTCTGTGCTTTGCTTTCCATGAAGCAAGACCCACATACTTCTGTACTTCCCTTTCAGCTGAAATGTACTGCAGTGTCGTAGCTAGCGTGAACAACAGTACGTAAATTGCATCACCATAGAAGTTTCAGAAAATTCCCTGTTGTTTTCTCAGATTAAATCACTACAGTGATGTTGATAGGTTTTAGGTTTTAGGTACAGTAACAGTTTTGCTCTGTTTCTCTTTGGAAAAGATTTTGTTACTGTCTGAATATCAGAGTGAAAAAAATTTTTAAAAATTACTATATAAAGAGAGGTGGCTACTATTCTAACTATGAAATACGTTTGTACTTATTGTGGCTTTAGAAACCCAAAGGCTGCAAGTAGCATTTGTTTTAAAAGATTTCGATGATGATTTTCTTTTTATTGTTTGTTGATTAGAATTAGAAATTACTAGCAAATGTCAGGTTTTGGTGTTTTGGTTTCACAGTGGTTATCCCTGCCTGACCGCCTCAGTGATAATTTGAAATCTGTTTAATTACCTGTTAAGTTTCTCTGTCTCCCTCGGGCTCAGCTTCTGGCTCCTCTTCCTGTGTGGTGATGCGTCCAACTGCTCGTGTGTCAGGTCTGCTTTGTTTGACTTTGGATGGCTGTGCGTTTTGTTAACATCCGGTAGGAGAAAAGCCTCCTCATTCCTTCGTAATTTCCTTGGCTGTTTTCATTTATTTATCATTTCAGACGAACTTGAGATCAGTTTGTCAAGGTGCTTAAAAAAAAAAAAAGGCGCTTTGGAATTTTGGTTGGGATGACATTAAGTTTATACTTTTATTATGGGGAAAGTGACATGTTTACATTATTGAGTCCCATACAAGAACATGGTATGTCTTTCTGGTTTTTTGGGGGATCTTTTAAAAAGATTTCAACATAGCCCATTTTAATTTTTGATTAGTTTTATTCCTAGACATTTTAATGGGGCCCCCTCCACATTTTTATAATATTACATATGTGTGTATATATTTTATAGTATATTTTTAATTTTTTTTAATTAATAAGAAAAGCTATTTTATCTATGTTTTTGACTGGCTATTATTGATATTCACAAAATTAATTTGCATATATTCATTTTATTACCAGCTGTATATTGTCAGGTATTTTAGTTGGTTAAAATTTTCTAGGCAAATAATCATTTTCTGAACATTAGAGTTTATTTGTTCTTATACAACTACAAGGATAAAGGTTTGAGAGCAATGTTAAATATGATAGTGCACATCCTTGCCTTGATCCTAACGGCTGAGAATACAACCGGTCTTCTGCATTTGTGTGTGGCTTGGGGTGATGGCTTGGGATGGATAGTATTTGTTAATTTCAAATTCTAGTCAAGGAGAACAAAAAATTAAAACCCTTATAGGTAACTTTAAAAATACCACTTATTTTTATTGGAATGGCAAATTTATAGAGAAAAGAGACGAAAGTCTCTTCCTTCTGTTACTTTATTCCCTAACACAACAGTCACAACAGCTGGAGCTGAGCCGACGTGAAGCCAGGGACCAAGAACTCCTTCCAGGTTCCTCCACGTGGGTGCAGGGTCCCAGGGCTTTGGGCCGTCCTCAGCTGCTTTCCCAGGCCACAAGCAGGGAGCTGGATGGGAAGCGGAGCAGCCGGGACATGAACTGGTGTCCACATGGGATTCTGGCTCTGGCAATGGGGGAGTATTAGCCAGTTGAGCCTTTGTCCTGGGCCCTATCGGTAATTTTTTCATAGTAGAATAGTAGTTATTTTCTTTTGACCTATTCATGTAACGGGTCTCATTATTACATTCCCCAATAATGTTTTATAGTGATTATGTGTATTTATTATACATCATACACTTTCATATGTTTTACGTTATAATCTCACATTCCTAGAGCAAACACCATAATGAAATGTTTTATGTTCCTTTAGATGCATTCCTGAATTTTGTTTGCTGGTGTGTAAATATACTTTTGTGCTTTCGTAACTGAAGTCTCAATTGTTTTTGGCCTATAAAAGTTTACTCTGTGATTTTAATCTGTTCTCAGATACCACAAAAGCTCTGCTGCCTGTTGGTTAAAATAGCAAAGGGATTGGATTGAATCAAACCACAGGATCAAATAAAAGGCTCTGGAATGTGGAATTTCGGACAGTCGTTCCATGATTCTTTTCCCATTGCTGGCGGTATCGGTCCAGTCCAGAGCTGCAGACTTGAGAGCCAGAGTTTGACTTTTCATTGTGAAGGTAGAACAGAAACCCAGTGCTGCAGCTGGCGGAGGAATTCCGCATTGCTTCTGTGGTTCGCAGTGATTCTCATCTAGCTTGCACAAGGGCATGTTCTTAAATTACATGAGCATTCCGAAGAGAGGAGAGTAGTAAAAGCATTTCAGATGCTCAATGTCTTAAGCCCATTAATTGCAATTCGTCCATTCTTAAGTAATCATTTGAAATGATGTTCTAGGAAATGAGGAAGTAAACCAAAAAAAGTGAAAGAATTCAATTCAGAAAACGGAAGAAGATGAAAGAGAAATTCCCAGACAGCAGGCTGTGATCAGGGCTAAGGGGTGTAGGTACGCACAGTTCAGCTGGAGCATAAGGGCTCTGTACAGGGCTCCGGGATTACAAATCTTTATCGTGGAAAAAAATAAGTAAAAAGAGGATATGACATCATTGCTTTCTTGAGGGAAAAAATATCAAGGTTATGATGAAGGTTGTATAAGAAGAAAGGCAAGTTTTACTTGAAGTAAAAAAATTAAGTGCTATTAGCAAAGGAAAATACACTCATTGTACTTTATTTTGCACACACTGCTTTAAAAAAAGCAGTGTTTCTGCTTTAAAAAAAGCAAGGATTCATTTATTTTTATTGGAAAGTCAGGTACACAGAGAGGAGGAGAGAGGAGAGGAAGATCTTTTGACTGCTGATTCACTCCCCAAGTGGCTGCAATGGCTGGAGCTGATCCCCAATCCAAAGCCAGGAGCCGGAAGCCTCTTCTGGGTCTCAATGTGGATGCAGGATTCCAAGGCTTTGGGCCATCCTCGACTGCTTTCCCAGGCCACAAGCAGGGAGCTGGATGGGAAGTGGGGCTGCTGGGATTAGAACTGGCATCTATATAGGATCCCAGCATGTGCAAGGCGAGAACTTTAGCTGCTAGGCTGCTGAGCTGGGCCCTGTTTTTGTTTCAGTTGTCCAGAGACACCCCTCAACCTCCTTCCCTGACTGTTTCCTAATAGACTTGGGCTGATTCTCTTCCCTGCTCTCCCACTTAGGCCAAGCGACTGTCCCAGTTATTGAGGACACTGGGCACTGGGCACAGGTGACTCAGCCCTTCTGCCCTCTCCTTGAGATGTGGTCTCCTGCAGAGTGCAGTCTGCTCTGCTCTCTCAGCCACGCACTAAGCTCAGTGGGGCAGCCCCTGCTTCTGATGGTGGGGGAGGCCGAGGCTGTCCGGAGCAGCCCGTAGCTTGGCAGCTAAGTTTGTTTCTGGCGTGCATTGTCAAGAAGTGCATTAAGTGTGTGCTTAAGTCACAGAAATGCTTTGCTGGCAGTAAAGGCAGAGCTTTGCCCTCTCTCGGCTAGCTGGGGCTTTGCTTGGTAAGGAGTGAGCGGTTGAGTCTCAGCAGTAGGCCCACTTACATGCCGGAACCATCACACCGTACTTGAAGCAGGTGGAGGAGAGGCTTTGCGGGTGAGGTCAGAAAGCTAAGTTCATGGAGGATGTTGGTTGGTGTTGAAAAATAAGTAAATCAAGAAGTACCATATTAATTTAAAACAAGAGGTTAATTATTGAAAGAAACAGTGGCTGCTTGTAGACTGCCAGAGCAGAGGGTTACTGAAGCGGAGTTGCTTTTGTCAGAAACCTTTCAACACCATTTCATTTCTAACCACGTGCATGTGTTATTTTGGCTCTGTAAAATTAAATGAAGAGACAAAGGACAGCTGGTCCTTTGGCATTTGGTATTTGGTGTTGGAGTGCTCTGTCACCTTGATTGAGAACACGAAACTCTTGACATTGAGAGCCTTGGGTTGACCTCAGTGGGCTGAGTGACGGGCAGTGATGCTGTGTGCCAGCATGCCTGACTGCCGCAAATCTCTGGGTTCCCAAAGTTAGGGGATTTGTCTGCGGCAAGATTGCTGAAACAGAGTAAGTGCTGACTGCCTGGTTTCAAATCCAGAAAAATATGGGACAAAAGATTTACTGTGAGAACAAGCCTTCAATTCTGGAAATTGGGCATGCTTTGTTGGCTCAAAAGCTATCAAGTATTTCCTTGACTTTGGAACGAAGACACCCAAATGCCCATTTTCAATAAGCTGGTAATGTTTTCGTCTTTTCCTCTGTGTTCTGAGCGCTTCGAAGAGCGTATTCTTTCTTAAAACTTGC